TAAGCTGGAGCATTCAAATTGAATGTACTAAGCTTGGAACAAATGAATTCCATTCGAGGTCCTCTCAAAGATTTTGTTAATGCATCTGCAAGCTGATCATTGGAACCAACAAACTGAGTACAAATTTCTTTAGTCAACAACTTCTCCCGAATAAAATGACAGTCAATCTCAATATGCTTAGTCCTCTCATGAAATACTGGGTTGGAAGCAATGTGAAGAGCAGTTTGATTATCACAATACATCTTCATAGATTGAATCTCACAAAAGTTCAATTCTTGCAAGAATTGTTTTACCCAAACAAGTTTACAAGAGACGCCATTGCCCTATATTCAGCTTCAGCAGAGGATTGGACAACCACGTTTTGCTTTTTGCTTTTCCATGAAATGATATTTCCTCCAAGGAAAACACAATAGCCTGTAGTGGAACGCCTATCCATAGGAGATCCAACCCAGTCAGCATCACAGTACCCAAAAATTTGGGTATTTCCCTTATCTTCATATAATAATCCTTGTCCTGGAGCTTTTTTAATGTATCTTAAGATTCGAATGATAACATTCCAATGATCCACACAAGGAGCTTGCATAAATTGGCTGACAGCACCAACTGCAAAAGATAAATCAGGTCTAGTAATTGTCAAATAAATAAGTTTCCCAACCAGTCTTCTATATCTTTCTGGGTCAGAGAAAACTTCACCCTGTCCTGCCATTAACTTCAAATTTGGATCCATAGGACTGTCCACAGGTTTGCAATCAATCATACCTGTCTCTTTTAGAATATCTAGAGCATACTTCCTTTGAGAGATGACAATACCTTCTCTTCATTGAGCTACTTCAATACCCAAGAAATATTTAAGATTTCCAAGATCCTTGGTCTGAAAATGACTACACAAGTGCTCTTTTAGCTGAGATATTTTAGCAGCATCATTCCCTGTGATGACAATATCATCAACGTACACAATTAAATAAACATGTTTGCCAGGGGCAGTGTGACAATAAAACACTGAATGATCTGCTTCGCTGCATTTTAATCCAAAAGCTTGAACAATAGAGCTGAATTTTCCAAACCAAGCACGTGGAGACTGCTTTAGGCCATAGAGGGATCGACGTAATTTACAAACCAAACCAGACTCCCCCTGAGCAACAAAGCCAGGAGGTTGCTCCATGTAAACTTCTTCTAAGTCACCGTGCAAAAAAGGATTTTTAATATCCAATTGATGAAGAGGCCAATGACGAATGGCGGTCATGGCAAGGAACAGGCAGACAGTGGTCATTTTGGCTACTGGAGAAAAAGTATCACAATAATCAAGTCCATATATTTGAGAATACCCTTTAGCCACTAACCTGGCTTTAAGACGATCAACCTGACCATTGGGTCCAACTTTAATAGCATAGATCCAACGACAACCAACTGTTTTCTTTCCCGAAGAGAGAGGAACAAGCTCCCATGTTTTGTTGTGATCAAGAGCCTGCATTTCAGAAATCATGGCTTGTCGCTATCCAGGATGATCAAGCGCTTCGACCACATTTTTGGAAATTGTAATAGAGGATACAGAGGAAATAAAAGAACAATAGGAAGGAGACAATCTATGATAACTAAGAAAATTGTAAATGGGATAAGGATTACGAGTAGAACGAGTACCTTTGCGAATGACAATGGGCCAACTGGAGTCATCGTTATTAGGAGTCGTGGTATTAGAGGATGATGGTGAAGGACCTGTTATGGATGGCTCATCTTGGGGAATGGGATTGTTCACCTGGTTCCTGCGTTGATAGGTGATGATAGGCTGTGATGATGATTCTAGAGTATTTTGGTTGGGATTTGGGGTGTTAGGAATAGGAGGTACAACTGATTCAACTAAGGGAACAGGAAAAACATTTTGGACAGAATCAATATCCTGCATAGAATAAGGGAAGAAGGATGATGATTCAAAAAGTGTGACATTAGCAGACATGTAGTACCTCTTGGTTTCAGGAGAATAACACCGATATCCTTTTTGAAGACAAGAATACCCCAAGAAGACACATTTGATAGCTCTAGGTAAGAGTTTATCTAAGCCAGGAGACATGTCATGAACAAAACATATACATCCAAATACCCTAGGAGAAACATGAAAAATTGGTTCCTTTGGAAATAGAATAGAGTGTGGAACTTTATTATCAAGAGAAGAAGATGACATTTTATTAATGAGAAAGCATGCAGTTAGAATAGCATCTCCCCAATGATGAATAGGCATATTGGCACCCAACAATAAGGTACGATCAGGTTCAACCAAATGTCTATTTTTTCGTTCTGCTATACCATTTTGTTGTGGTGTGTGAGGACACGTGGACTGGTGTAAAATGCCTTGAGAATTTAGGACATTAGAAAAATCATTAGAAAAGTACTCTTTGACATTATCACTTCGTAAAACTTTGATTACTTTTCCAAATTGAGTTTTGATTTCATTAAGGAAAGACTTAAAGATAGGCAATAGTTCAGAACGATCTTTCATAAGATAAACCCAAGTCCATCTAGAAAACCCATCAATAAAAATAACAAAATATCTAAAACCAAAAGATGAAACACGACTAGGTCCCCATATTTCTGAATGAACAATACTAAAAGCAGAATCACATCTAGATTCAGAATGATTTGGAAAGGATGACCTGGTATGTTTTCCTAGTTGACAGGATTCACATTCAAAAGTTTGAAGGTTCTGAAGTTCAGGAACCATTTTTTTCAATTTTGCTAAATGAGGATGCCCTAATCGCTCATGTAACAATTTAGGGGATAAGGATGCAACACAAGATAAAGATGACTTAGTCCTAAGGTAGTATAAGCCTCCAGATTCATGTCCTTCTCCAATCAGTCGACCCGCACCACGTTCCTGGATAACAAAACAATTGGCATTAAAGGTTACCTGAGCAATTCAATGATTTGGTTAATTGGCTTACGAAACAAGACCTGAATGGAAAAGAAGGAACACAAAGAACATTTTGAAGGTTTAAAGAAGAAGAGATGGATACTTGACCAATTCCTTTAGAGGCTACTTTAGATCCATTAGCTAAAGATATGAGATGAGATGTTTTAGGAAATGAAAGAGAGGAGAATAAAGAGGTATTACCAGACATGTGGTCAGAAGCACCTGTGTCAATAATCCACGGATTTTGACTTTCCACAGATTGCGAAATGCAAGCGTTTGACGAATTTGGTGTTGTAGATGCTTGAGCCAAATTGGTTGATTTCATCCTTAAATATTCTTGATACTCTTCATGAGAGAACTTGGGCTCATCAACTTCAGATTTTGAGGTATTAGCTGCCTTATCAGGAAAGTCGTGGAGAGCAAAGCAATTTTCCTTAGTATGTCCCATTCTTTTACAATGAGAGCACTGAGGACGTCCTTTCCCACCACGTCCTTTAGAGCTGTGATTACCTCTTCCACGAGCAGAAATCATGGCGGAAGAATCAGCAAGTTCCTGACTGTTTTTGCTTTTGATAGAAGGAACACGAAGTAACCTTGTGATTAAACTCTCCGTAGAAGGAACTTCTTCTCCAGTTAGAATCTGGTATCTAACATGATTAAACTCTGGATTCATAGCCCTAAGAATCATTACCATATAGAATTTATCCAGCTTCGTCTTTCTTTCTTCTAATGATTCTGCCTCCAGGAACATTTTTAATTCTTCAACAGCTGACTGAGCTTCAACAATAAAGGACATCATGGAATTATCCTCTTGCTTAAGGGAGGCTAGTCTATTAGCAGAATCATAAAGTCGTTGAATATCATTAGCAAAGATATTTTGGGCCTTTTTCCAAAAAGAATTACATGTCTTGAAGGCTCGAAGAGTGCTCAAAATATTTGGTTCAACAGATTGCCATAATAGTGCACAAAGTTGATAATCTAGTTTCTTCCATTGAGGAGCCTGATCTGCTGGTTTAATACTTTCATCTTCTTCTAGATGATCATGAACTCCTTGACCTAGAAACCAGAGCTCAACAGAGGAAGCCTAAGACAAATAATTTTTCCCATTTAATTTTTCTGTGGTTATAGTCGGAGTCCCAGAAAAAGATACAGACACAGGTCTTGACATTTTCCAGGAAACAAGAAAGGACCAGCGTGCTGTCAAAGAGAGGACCGAGAGAGGCAGAGAGAAAAAACGCAAACCAACCACGTTTTGTGACCGAGAACACAAAACAAAGTGCAGATCTGGCACCAGGGCGACGAGGCGAGCCAGATAGAGGTGGCCTGGAGCAAAACAGCCACCGGGAGGGTGGCGCGTGAGGCTCACGCGCGGAGGAAGCCGCGGAAGAGGGTGGCGCGTGAGGCAGAGACAGAGGAAGCGAACACTGGGGTTGGGTCTCACTCCTCGAGGCGAGCCAAACCCAAGTGTCAGAGAGAGAAAAGGCGCCGGAGAAGACAACACTGGTGGCGAACGGCGGTGAACAGCGATTAATGCCAGAAAAAAAAAACAGAGACAGGCAGAGCGGGATGAACCCGCTCTGATACCAACTTGAAATAGAAAAAAGAAAATAAAGAACTGATTTTGAGAGCCTGAAATCATCTTCTTGTGTTCTCTTATTTATAGGAGATAAAAACACAGATTCAGAGATACAATTAATAGAGAGACATGATTAATCCTAGAGAAGATAAACAGATGCATTCTAGGAACCAGGTCTACAACTAATCTCATAAATGCCCAACAAGATACACTTAATCTAATAAATACTTTAACAGAAATCCATTTTAGTTTGTCTTCACACCAAAATGGGTCAAATTACTATTACTAGGGCCATGACTTCTTGAGAAGACAGAACCAATGCAACGACAAATGGTCCAACCTCCTCTACGATTACAGTAAGGTCCGTGACTGTGAGGCCAAACCACGATAACAAACAAACACATCCCTTCTTTTATTGGACTCTCAACAAATAACAACGAAGGAACATAACCTCCTTTCCAACATAGTTCATGAAGTCTTCCAAGCCATCACCAAAGTTCTCCTCCACATGTTTCGCCATTGATGGTGGTAAAAGGGACAACAACAAAAACTTAGAAATAACATGAAGATATATAAAGCTTCACTTCGGGAACAACCAAAGTTTGACACGCGATGCAATGACACAAGTCGGAGGGGGAGAACATGATGAGGGAGTTGATGATTTTGAAGAAGGGTAAAATGGTTACAAGATTGATGGAGAAGGGAAAGAGGCTCTATTAATTTTTAAATGTTATAGTGGCGGTCGAAAACCATCACTATGTTAATTATGCATGCAACAATAGTCTAGAAAACAAATTATTGTCTTGTGACAGTTTTTGACCAGTATTATGTTAAAATTATTAACAACATTGATTCTAAACTACCGGAAATACCATTTTGACCCACTTTAAACATATAAAAAACTAATTGAACTTTTTAAAAGATAAGGAACCAAACTAAATCTAATTGAAATGAAAAAAAGACTAAAATTACAATTTAGGCTTGTGGATTTTATTGTAGTATAATGTATATACTAAAAAATATTTAGGTGTTATTTCATTTATGTATCTGTAAATAAACATTTATCCATTGCAAATCTTTATGGTATTTGAATGTTTACATTATTTCTAACAACTTCCTTTTTAAAAGTCTGCTTTCTTATGGTCAGTGCTTACTTATTAAACAATCTTTACAAGTCACATGTTCTATCTAACTTGACAATTGTTTCATTGAAAAGTAGTTTGTGCTTTATCGTAGTGATTAATTTGAATATTTTTAATGCTTGGCTTCTCAAATTCTATTCTTTATTATTATTATTTGACATATTTTTCAGGTACTCATCATTTCGGGTGAAACAGGTTGTGGAAAGACAACACAACTTCCACAATTTATCCTAGAATCCGAGATAGAATTAGTTCGTGGAGCTGTGTGTAATATTATTTGCACACAACCACGACGCATTGCGGCAATATCTGTTTCTGAAAGAGTTGCTTCTGAAAGAGGAGAAAAATTGGGTGAATCTGTGAGTTTTTCAAAGGCAGTTACTGTTACTAAATGTTCCAGTGTAATAATTTTCTGCTATACCGTATGTTAGAATGTAAAGTATCCATCTCTCCTTTCTTTGACTTCTTTTGTGAAAGGTTGGATATAAAGTTAGACTTGAAGGTGCTAGAGGGAGAGATACACATCTTCTCTTTTGCACTACAGGCATCTTATTAAGAAGATTGCTAAATGATAGAAACTTAAATGGTGTAACTCATATTATTGTTGATGAAATTCATGAGCGTGGGATTAATGAAGGTAGATTTCTGAACTTGATGTGCATTTGGGATTTAGAAGATTTTTTATGATAATGCTATTGCAATTTATCTTTCTTGTGACAGATTTTTTGCTTGTTGTCCTGAAAGATCTTCTAGCTTGTCGACCAGAACTGAAACTGATTCTAATGAGTGCTAGCCTTGATGCTCAGCTCTTCTCTTCATATTTTAATAGTGCTGCAACGATCAAGATTCCAGTATGTTACATAAACTGAATGACGTAACTTGTTTATGTTGTCAAAGGGATAATTATATCACTAGGAATTAGGGTAGTTCATGAATCTTAGTGAGATATCAGTGATTTATGTTTAACAATTAACCTGAGGGCATAAAGAATGAAAAAAAAAAAAAGAATTCTTGTAATCTGTAAAATGTCTTGTATTATTATTTATTAATGATTGAGTTACATTACTCAAGTATTTATACAATTATAAGCTTGAGTTGCAATCTTGTCAGTTAAGATCTCTTACTATTGTGAAACAGACAAATGATAGTTGGTTAAGATCCAACTGTTCTACAACAGACTCCAAGAATGATAGCTTGATGAGTGAATGGATAATGGAGGATCTTTTTCAAGATTGGTTTAAGTTTTAGTAGAGAATAAAACTTATTTATTTGTGATGAATTCTAATTGTTTCTTGTTTTTGCAAATTTTAAGTAGATCCAGCACAAAACCTGAATACGGGAGTTTAGATTACACAGCTGTGAAGTACTTTGGATACAGTCTCTTCTTACTGAACTACAAGTAACTTTTGCAAAGCCTCTGCTGCTTTGTGACAACTTGAGCACTGTTTCCCCATCCCACAACCCCATTCTTCAAAATCTAGACATATGATCAACATTTTACTTTCTAGAGAAAATGTTTTGAACAAAAGTCTATTGGTTTGGCACATTCCGACTCTTGATCAGAATGCAAACATTCTCATCTAACCCCTCTCTCCCCTCAGATTTCTGGCTCCATGTGACAAAGTCAATGTGTTTGAGAATTTTCCACTATGCAACCATCCTGAGTTTGAAGGGGAATATTAGAGATAGTGCATTTACATGACATTGTAATTTCACTTGTATCCAGTCTATTTAAGAGTTCAGAGAGAACTCTGAGAGAAAGAATACATGCTTTATTGAGTGAATCAATTAATTACACAGAACAGTTACAGAAAGGTATTTATACAGGGAAACCTGTAAGTAACTCTAACTAACTAGTGACAGCTGACACATTACAATTGAGAGTAATATACTCATACTGTTACAATTTAGTCTAGGCAGTTAGATGGTGAGTCAGCATTCAGTCACTCGCTTTACACATATATGAAGTTTCTTCTCTGTTTTCTATTTTGTGAAATCATTTACAAATGTAGTCGAGTAGTCTCATTTCTCTTTTTCTTTCTGAATAATATTAAACTCAGCAATATTTTATTCGATTTAACCAAGCGATACTATTTCTTTGTATTTGATGTAACTGACATTACTATTTTGGGACTTAAAGCTAAAAGTCTCCCATTCTTATTGGTTGGGGATGGAATAGGGTTTCACATACCCTGTCAGAACTCATTTTTTGGAGGATATTCTGGAAATGTCGGGGTATCGATTGACTCCCAACAATCAAATTGATGACTATGGTCAAGAAAGGATTTGGAAAATGAACAAACAGGTGCCAAGAAGGAGGAAAAGCCAAATATCTTCTGCTGTGGAGGTATTTGAAGATTCCAAAGCTACAGTTTCTCAAACCTTGATATGTATTTATTATGTTCTTTGTTGAAAAATATGATCAGGATGTATTAAAAGCTGCTGATTTCAATGATTACAGTCTGCAAACAAGGGAGTCTTTGTCTTGTTGGAATCCTGACTGTATTGGTTTTAACCTGATACAATATATTCTGTGCAATATATGTGAGCATGAAAGACCAGGTGCTATTTTGGTTTTTATGACTGGATGGGATGATATAAATGCTCTGAAGGAGAAGCTTTTAACACATCCTGTCTTGAGTGATCGAAACAGAGTTTTGTTGCTCATGTGCCATGGCTCAATGGAGAGTTTGGAGCAGGTAATGGCTTGTCTGTTGATAGTACATGCTTATGTTTACTCACTAATCTGTACTTATCATCTTCATTATTAATTATTCTGCAACTGGAATACATAGAGTTTTGTCATTAAAGAATATAAGCATACTGATTTTGTCCCCTAGCATTATATTTTCTTAAAAACAGAAATTATTGTTTGCATAGTGCTGATAATGAATGAAAAAGCTTGTACTTACGGTTTTAGTGTTGTTGTATTTTACCGACTTGCACAAGTAATTTATTGATAAGCTGTACGTATTGTACATGCAGAGATTAATATTTGAAGAACCTGAAGATGGAGTACGAAAAATAGTGCTAGCAACAAATATTGCTGAAACTAGTATCACGATCAATGATGTTGTTTTTGTTCTTGACTGTGGGAAGTCAAAAGAATCATCATATGATGAACTGAATAACACGCCTTGTTTGCTTCCCACTTGGATCTCTAAGGTTTCAGTTCAACAAGTAAGGGTATATTATAATTTATTATGTCATTGTCAGTAATGGTTATATCTAATGTATTCTATATTACTTGAAAGCATTTTTTATTTCTGGTGTTTTATATATTATACTGGGTTCATTTGGTTCAATTAACATTCAGTAGAAACTTTGGTAACAGTTTCTTTCTTATTAGTTTAGTTGGCTGAGTGCTGTATTTATGCTTAGTCATAGGGCTATATGGGTATGGCTCAATTAAATAAAAGCAACGCAATGTACTGATTGAAGGTTCTTTTTTGAAAGTGGGGAAGGGACTGACAAACATGACATTTGTGTTACATGATTAAATGGTTAATATTTAACTTTCTGGGGTACATCAAGTTTTTCAATTAGAGTTTAGTTTTGAATAACTTTTGTTTATAGGAATGATGGTATTATACATAGCTATGACCTGTATGGTACATTAGCACATATTTTAATTGAAGTTGAAAATTCATTGGTGTAACTAGTACATATTTAATTTGGGAATTTATAACGGTTTTTGAAATATCTCTTTTTGCCCTTCTCTTTCATGTTCTTCCCCTCTCTTGTATTGTTAGTTTCAAAGGATCAAAAAGAACATTTTCTGAAATTTAGGAACTAAATAAATTAATTTTCAATTGAAGGGCATAGAGAAAAAAAAATGACCAAATTTGAGGAATTAAAAACATTTAGTATTTATTTTCTTGTGGCTGGAGAGTGACTCAATGTTGGTTGTAAGGGTTTTTAGAATGATTATATTGTTCCTTAGTATCTTTGATCTAAATGGCATAATATCAAGTTTTTCACTTATACTTTGGGATTGAATGCTTTTCCTGTGCTATGTGGATATGGTCTATAGCTGTTAATTCTTACAGATTAGGTGGTAATTGTCATCATCATGTTTGGTGTGCAATGTGTTGTTTTTTATGTTTCAGTGAGAAAACTGTAATCAAACACAATGGTCATGGTTCAAAAGTGCAATTATCATGTAAAACCATTTGACCTTTTAAAGATTTTATCCTATCCTCCCACTAACTTTTTTCTTTTTCCTAGAGAAAAGGAAGAGCTGGTCGTGTTCAACCAGGAGAATGTTATCATCTCTATCCTAGATGTGTATATAATTCTTTCACAGACCATCAATTACCTGAAATTTTGAGGATGCCGTTGCAATCTCTCTGTCTGCAAATCAAAAGTTTGAAACTAGGCAGTATATCTGAGTTCTTGTCTAGGGCTTTACAGTCTCCCAAGATACTTGCGGTAATGATAAATTCAATGCTCTAATTTTGTGTTATAATTTTATCTCCAATTCATGCACAATTTTTTGTGGTAATTTGAAATAAATTCACTAATTTTTTTGTTATTGATTACCTGTATATAGTTTGTTTCTCACCTTATTTTACCGATCTTTTTCGAAGGTGCAAAATGCAATTGAATATTTAAAAACAATCGGAGCTCTGGATGAGAATGAGAATCTGACTATTCTAGGTTTGTTGACCATTATCAGGCATGAAAAACTGCTTTCTAATTATTTTCCTTTAAAATTATAGTCTCACGGTTGGAGTTTGTCAATTGTCAGGGCACCACTTGACAGTGCTTCCCTTGGAACCCAAACTTGGCAAGATGCTTATCTTTGGTGTTATCTTCAATTGTCTGGATCCGATATTAACTATTGTTGCTGGCCTTAGTGTTCGAGATCCTTTTCTAACACCTTTGGATAAAAAAGATGTATGTTTTTTCTATTTTTAATGGCTTAGGTTGTGTTTGGTTAACTAAATTTACTATATATGAAGACCGAGGTGATTTGCATGATATATTGTTGGCTGTTTTTAATAAAATGAACTGATCTGAGTGGATGTCCTGAAGCTCAATCATCCAAAGTTAAAATGAGAAAAGAATTGAAAAAAGACTGGTGTGAAGGTGGAAAAGATTAAAGTGCCCAAAATTACATATTGTAAAAACCATGAAAATTGCCACTCATGAAAATTGTTCGGTAGTGAGAAAATAATAATAATAATAATAGTGCATAACAATTTTATAATATAATCAAGTATATAAATTTACATTCTAGTTAAAATTTATAATAAAAATATTTTGATTATTTATCATTTCATTTTATTATTTTTATTTTTATTTTTATTTTTTAATTTTTTACTCTTTCGTTCGTCTATTTCTTCTTTTTCACTTCTCAGTCCAAATTCAATGTCAGAGCTTTTGGATTAAGGTGTCGAAAAGAGACTGGTTGTCTAGTGATATCTATTATCTAACGTCAGATGTCAGATGAAAAGAAAGAAAAAGTCTTGTAAAAGCTGTTTTTTGATATATTCTGAAAAACCCACGGAGGGTAGGTTCTCCTAGACTGAAACAGCCATCTCATTCTTTTCTTGCTACTGAATGTGAAGTATATTCAAATATTGAAGTTGGTACCAGAGTGATTTCGGTCCCGCGCTGTCACTCTGCTCTCATTTTTGTCTCTGTTCATCATTTGCAAACGTCCACTGCTGGAAGCCATTGCTGGCAGCCCCCATTTGCTGCCACCCTTAGGGACTTTTCTGGTAAACCACAGATCTGGTGGTAGAGGTGGTCATCTTCGGTGCTCGTACTTTGAGAGAATGGGCCATATTCTTGAAACTTGCTATTCCTTTCATGGTTTTCTGGAGAAAACGACAAATGTTTCCAAGTTAGAGACATCAGAGCAAAAAGTATCTAGAGAAGAATATCAAGAGTATCTTCCCTTAAAGTCTAACAACTAATCATCTTCAACCCCGGTCCTTTCAAAACCCTGTTTTCTTAGTCTATTGATAGTCATGGTTTATGGATAACTTATTCAAGTGCTTCTCATCAATTTTTGGTAATGAATATTTATTCACCTATTTGTCTTTTCATTATTATCTCCATCTTCTTACCTCAATCTATGTTGATGAACTTGAATCATCTAGCACCTCAATCATGGTGTGGAAGTTCCAAAAATCTCTTTATGACTTGAAGCAATCCCTAGAGATAGGTTTGATAGACACTCTTTGAGCGGAAGGTAACTTTATTCATGATCTATGTTGATGATATTGATATCGTAGGAGATGATTATGATCATATGTTTATTATATCGTTATCTTAGGAGATTATTATGATCAAAGTATTTTTTAAGGATGGAAGTTGCTCAAACAAAGAATGGCATCTATGTGTCTCAAAGGAAGTATACCTTCAACGTTCTTTAAGAAACTAGGATGCTTTGATGGACGACAGCTAATACTCCCACCGAACCAATAAAAAGAAGCAATTATGAGGAAGAAAGTCCATCAGCGAACAAAGATAGGTACCAAAGCCAAGTTGGAAAGTTAATTTACCTGACTTACACTAAGCCTGACATCAGATTTGCTGAAAGCTTGGTGTGCCGTTATATGTTAAATCCTTCTGAGGCACATAAGAAGGCTGTGAATTGAATCCTACAATACCTTAAGGTTACACTAGGTAGCGGTCTTAAGGAAAAACTCAAACAGATATAAGAATTGCCAGCAAAGTTGCCATAAGAATTGCAAAGAACCTTGTACACCATAATAGAGCAAAAGATGTGAAAATTGATGAATACTTCATTAAGGAAAAAAAATGAGCATAAAATGATGACTGCAGAACATGTACCATCTTGCAAGCAAACAATACACATTTTAACAATGACTCTACCAAGGAAAACATATGATGTCATCAAATCCAATATGATTATGATAGACAATATTCCAGATTTAATTGCCCGAGTATCCAATCACACCTGTTGATGATTGGACTTCATATATATTAAATGTTGCTGATAGAAAGACTTACAAGAATTGTGTGTCATGAGCACACATAATTCGTCATAGAAAACAACGGATATAAAAAATGTAATCCCTAAAATTAGATGTATATAATGTTTCCCTATTTACATAATTATATCTTTAACAAACTGTTATTTGATTTAACAAATTTATTTCTTGCAGCTTGCGGGGGCAGCGAAATCTCAGTTTTCCCATGACTACAGTGACCATCTTGCTATTGTGAGGGCCTATGAGAGCTGGAAGGATGCCGAAATAGACTATGCTGGACATGAATACTGCTGGAAAAATTTTCTTTCTCCACAATCCATGAAACTTATCGATGCTCTTAGAGTGGAATTCTTATCCCTGCTCAAAGATATTGGATTAGTTGATAGAAACATGACTAGTTGCAATGCTTGGAGCTATGATATGTATCTCATACGAGCAGCTATTTGCTATGGCCTATATCCTGGAATCTGCTCGATTGTGGTATGTTCTTCAAAACTTCATAAATGTTATATATTTATAATAGATGCCCATAATTAATCCATACTCTTGTCATGCGTAAATGCGAATGATGCAATTTCGTTTGCAGCATAAGGGTAAGTCATTTTCTCTAAAAACAATGGAGGATGGCAAAGTGCTCTTACATTCGGTTAGTCCATTCAAATCATTATAATTTACTTCTGCCTTTGAAACAGAATAATACTTAAGTTTCATATACTATCTTTTGATTTTTGTTTTGTTTGTTTTGTCCCTGATTCGATATCTATTTTATTTTACTAGAATTCAGTGAATTCTCGGGAAACTAGAATTCCATATCCATGGCTAGTTTTTAATGAGAAGATCAAAGTGAACTCTGTATTTCTTCGTGACTCGACAGCTGTGCCTGATTCTGTAGTACTTCTTTTTGGGGGAAGCATATCAAAAGGAGATACTGTAAGTTCTTTCATATTTTTTTAATGGTTCTCATGTTTAGTCTAATTGTCTATAAAATTTTATAGTTTCAAATTATCCTCTAATTTTTAATCCTATGTTGATTTACGGGAGTTCCTTTCGTTTTGACAGGATGGTCACTTGAAAATGTCAGGAGGATATTTGGAGTTTTTTGTGAAACATGATGTTGCGGACATGTACCTGAGTATAAGGAAAGATCTTGACAACCTCATTCATAGTAAAGTAGGTGCTGTTAGCTGTACTTTATGCATGGGCTTGGGCCCATATCTAGACGTGTGTGTTTGTTTCTTTGTTGTGCACTACTTTAGAATTCCATCATACATGACTTTACCATTTCTCTCTGCATAGTCTATCTTGTTGTGTGTTATGCATGTTTTCTAGGGAAATACCTTATTTGTCACCCTTTGAGACTTCTCTCTTAAGTCGGGTACAAGTCATCCCAGATGCGATCATTACCGCAAACTAGATCACACAATCGATCAATGTTATGTATTGCATAGTTGTCTGCCTCGGTCTCCTGCTATTGTGCAGGATGCTCCTCTACTACCCTTGATTTTGGTGCCACTTCATCCACCTTTTCACTCTTACCTCCTCGGGTCTTTAGGTTTTACATGTTTTGTTCACAATCTTAGCCTTGGTGTCACTAGTGTGTTTCTTTAGGCTTCCCCTGGTCTCAAAAAGCGTACAAGTGTTGCTCATCCTCACTTGGTTGTTATTTGATTCTACCTGATGTCACCTTCTTTGGTTCTTATCTCTCCTTTGAGTCTACTCCCAGAAACTATGTCATCCACACCTCCATCCCTTGTCTTTGATATCTCATACATGTTCAGTGTGCTGGTAGATCGACCACCTTTGTCCCCTCTCGATTTATCATCGCCAATGAACATCCACATACTCACCAAGACTCGTATCGACTCTCTTCCAAAACCATCCCCGCCTCTTGATCCTAATCTGCCGATTGCACTTCGTAAAGGTGTTACCCTCTACTCATAATCATTCCCCTCATTATATGTGGCTTTGAGCTATCACTGATTGTCCACATCCCATCATACTTGTCTCTCTTTCTTTTCCTCCGATTCCTAAAACTGGAGGTGATACCTTAGTTCACTATGGTTGGAGACAAACCATACTTGATGAAATGTGTAACTCTTCAAAACAGTGTTACTTCGGATCTCATATATATTCCAATGATCAGTTCACAATTTTTCTAATGCAATTGGCCAGGAGCATAGCTTGACTAAATATTTTGAGGGACCAAGTAGGAAGTAATATTTATAAACTCAATTTAAAATAGTACATTTGTCTTGTACACATGTATTCCCTCCTGTATCGAATGTAAAAAAAAAAAAAAATACAAGATAGATCTAAGCGTGACAGTGATTTGACACCTGGAGCTCTGAATAGGCACTCTCAAACCCTATTGGAGGTAACCTATATTAGAATAGTGGCATTTAATTATACTGATTTTATTTTAGAAGTAGACATTTTCCCTGAACTATATTTCATATCAAATAAAAGTGGTATTGGAAATAAAATCCTATTTAAATAAACCTCTTTCTCCGCCTCTGCAACTGGCAGTAGGCTGTAGCATGTTCATTTGGTGGATTTTGTTGGAACAACCTGCATTGATTGTAATCTCTATTTAAAATTACTGTTTGCAGCTACAGTTTCCGCAGATGAGCATACACTCATTCCATGAGCTCTTATTTGCTATACGGTTGCTAATTGGCAATGACAAATGTGAAGGCAGATTTGTATTTAGTTGCCAGCTCCTTAAACCATCAATGATGGCATTGCAACAAGCATTGGTTTCAAGAACAGACAGTGGACCTGGGGGTGATAATACTAAAGGCCAGCTTCAAACATTGCTGACACGAGCTGGATATGGTGCACCCTTTTACACCACGCAGCAATTGAAGAATAATCAGTTTCGGGCTACAGTTGAGTTTAATGGAGTGCAGATAATGGGCCAACCGTATAGCAACAAGAAGAATGCAGAAAAAGATGCTGCGGCTGAGGCACTGCAGTGGCTTATGGGTAGAATACAAACAGGGAACGAGGATATCAATCACATAACAATGTTGCTGAAGAGAAGTAAGAAAGATAATAATTGAGCATTGAAATATGAAGATGATCTTTATCGAATGAAAATATGGACCATACTTAATACAAATTTAGTTAACAAACAAACACCACCGTATCTTCAGTGGGCACCATGCTCAGGTTCACAAGGTCAGCTTTGTTCCCAACTTACATGATCACAATGGACTGATGGTTCTCAACGTTACTTGCGTCCTGGGAAGGACTATTCGTCTTTTAACTTATTTACAGTAAAGTAAAAAATTTCATCGTTTAGTTAATGTCAGACTGTGATTTCAAGCATCACAAAATCATTATTTTCTTTTCAGTTTCTGTATTTTCTTGGTTATAATAATATCTGTGCATTGGTTTTCAGATTTGAAAAGATAAAGTTGAGGCAGTAGGGTAGACTGTTGGCGTCAAAGCACTTGTATCTTCGGCCAAGCTGTTGGATCCAAAATTGATTAATGGAGTGGTGAAGGACTCATTCCCGATGTACAAATGCTAACATGCGGTTTTTGTAGTTAAAACCCATTCTGGGCGCGTCGTTTCGTGGGCTACTCTTCATAAGCTGGAATAGTGATAGATTTTCTCGGCATTACTAGTGTTGTGTTGAATCGTTTTTCCTTCGGTAGAAGTGATAGAATGGAAAGGGCATAACATGGTGTTGTATATTTGGTGCATTTTAAAAATAAATCTGTTAGATATGCGGTTAGAAGATAGAACCAAGAACGTAATATAATCATTCCAAAACGATTTTTTTTTTTTTAAGTTAACGTCATCTTGAAACACTTTATAAATAAATTTTATTATTACAAAATAAGTTTTTTTTTTTTTTTTTAAGTTTATAACTCATTTTCAAATGGTATTTTTCATAAAGATCATTCTTAGAAAAGAAAAGAAAAGAATCATAACACCCTTTTAGAAGTATGATTTTAGAATATTTTGTAATGAAATTTATCCAAGGGTGTTAAATTCATTGAGATAATATTTTTCAGAGGAATAAAATTTTTACGGAGGTGCAGCAAAGTTCAAAACATACTTTGGGGCATGTTGATCATTTCATGTTTTTGGAGGGTAATGCTTGAAATTCCTCCAGTCTAGGAAGAAAGCCTCATTTCATTTGTTGAGTTCTTTCACGTATTTTCTACTAATCAACTTAGAGAAAACCTTTTCTATTTTTGAAGACGGAGAGAATTTATTTATTGTTTCCTCGGAGGAAAATTAGCTCTATTTTCAGTTCTTAACCTAAAATTATTGAATAAAAAAAACATTTAATTACCTCTTTTGTGCATACAAATATACAATTATCTTATTAAATAATAATATATTACTTAAATAATAATATATTACTTAATCAACTTATGTGACTATAAAAGTATATTCTTTCTCGATTTAATTATATTAATATTTTTCATTTTAACATTACATCAACTATACTTAATTATAAGAATTAAAAAAAAAGACAGTGTAAAACAGTTAAAAAAAAAAAAAAGACTAACAAATAATTTTTCAAAACCTAAAAGCATAATTTATATAAACTAAAAACGTATTTAAACCTTATAATAATTACTGCAATCGTTTCTTCAAAAGTCATAGCAAAGACAATTACTGATTAATCTACAATATAAATATTTTCACATTAACAGTATACAACAATTAAAATATAAAATAAAATTTATTTTTAAAAACTAAAGTAAAAATAGAAAAATATTAATTGTGTTTCTGATAATATGCAACAATTTCACACTGTTAATCAATCAATTTGTATGACATGATATTCGTAAAAGTAAAAGAAAGTAACAAGATGATTTATGATTAAATAATACTGTGAAATTGTTTTAAACTATAAATAAATATATAACTTATTTTCAAAATTGTCTCATTTATATCTACATTCTTTTTAAAAAAAACTGAAAATTAACGAGCCATAATAATATATATATATATATATATATATATATTCTGAGTAAAAACAAATTGATTTTATTAAATGACTTTAAAATTTTAAATTTTTCATCAAAACTCGAAATATATTTTTAATTAAAATCGAAGATACGATTTTAAAATCGTACTTCTAAACATGATTTTATTTATTTATTTATTTATTCTTAAAACCTGCTTTGTAGCATGATTTTTATTTTTATTATTTTTTATTTTTTAAGTATGTGATGAAATTCTTTAAAAGATAGAGTATTAGAAAAGATAATAAGAGTCAGTTTCTTATTTATTTTCAGAATACTCTGATACTGACATTGACATGATTATTTTTGTTTTTTTTACGGTGTCGTTGGTTGAAAATTCTGTGTGACATATAAACTATGGTGGAGTTAAATTTAAGATATTAATGAGATAACTGGTAGAGTCTAGATTTTAAACAAGATTGAAAACTTCGTTACGAAAAATAGAGAGTGAAAATTGGAGAGATATACACAATATTTTTTATTAATACTAAAACAAACAGTAAAAAATTTATTATATGTACATTGTAATCATCTTATTGCTATTTGTTGGATGATCTTGACGAGCCTAATAGTCTTAGGGCCATGTCAAAAAAAATGGTTTGAAACACCAGTCACGATTCCAATTAAAAACATCCTTTCAAACACGATTTTACATTCAAAATCATTTCACTTTTATACGATTTAATCTATTTTAAAAAAGTTTAAAATTTTTAACCTTATTTGATAAAATCATTTTTTTTTACCCAGAATAGTAAAAAAACCTATATATATAAAACTTTAACAACATACATTTACTTTCTCATAAAAGTGAGTAAATTATAATTATAAATTATTAAAATATATTTAAATTGTTATTTATTATTTTGTATATTTAAATATAAGTAAAGAAAAGATCAAAATCAACCTTTACAACTTTTACTAAAGTTTATATTATTAATAATTCATATAAAACATAAATATTATTGATCTAACTTCTAAATTATAATTTCACATTGTCATAATTATATTATATATATATATATATATATATATATATATTAATTTTTATCAAAACTAAACAAAAATGATAAAATGATGAAGTTGTTTAAATAACAAACAAGTGGAATATTGAAATATTCATATCTTTGTTTATCGAGGTGACTTTCCAGCTCTGCTGACAATAATAGAAAGAGTAGCAGTCTGATGAGGACTGCGTTCACCAAATGCCAATGGCGTCGGCGTCACCCCCTTCTCCGTCCCTCCTCCTCCTCCTCTTCGCCACCGCCATCTCCCTCTCCTTTCAACTCTCCCCCGTCGTTCACTCCACCAACTCCGACTTCCACGCGCTAATGTCGTTCAAAGCCGCTTCCGACCCTTCCAACACACTCGCCCAGTGGAACTCCACAACCTCAAACCCCTGCAACTGGTACGGTGTCTCCTGTCTCCGCAACCGCGTCTCTCGCCTCGTCCTCCAAGACCTCAACCTCACCGGCTCCATCCTTCCGCTAACCTCCCTCACCCAACTTCGCATCCTCAGCCTCAAACGCAACAGTTTCAGCGGCCCCATTACCTCTCTCGCCAACCTCACCGCCCTCCGCCTCCTCTTCCTCTCCCACAACAACTTCTCCGGCCACCTCCCCGCCGCGCTCATCTCCCTCTACCGCCTTGATCTCTCCCACAACAGCCTCTCCGGCGAGATTCCCACCACGCTCAACCTCTGGACCCACCTCCTCACTCTTCGCCTCGACCACAACCGCCTCCGCGGCCGCATTCCCAGCACCATCAACCTCTCTCATCTCCAAGATTTCAACGTCTCAAACAACCTCTTATCGGGTGAAATACCCGAGTCTCTCTCGGGTTTGCCAGGATCCGCGTTTTCTCACAACCCCTCACTCTGCGGAGCTCCCTTGCGAGAATGCAAAGGCAAAGCAATCATCCCAGCCCTGGCTTCGCCGTTGAAGCCGCAAAACGACACCGTTTTCTACAAACCCCGCGGGGGCGAGAGAATGGGGGTGGTGGTCTTGATCGGTTTCGTGGTGAGCGACGTGTTGGTGCTGGGTTTGGTGTCGGTGCTTCTCTACTGGTATTTCTGGCGTAAGTACTCTGGTGCCACAGAATTGAGAAACGAGGGGAAAGAGAACGGTGGTGGTGGAATGGTGGTTTTGGAAGGGGGGAGAAGGTTTGAGTTGGAGGAGTTGTTGCGTGCGTCGGCGGAGATGTTGGGGAAGGGGGCATTTGGGAGTTCGTATAAAGCGGTGGTTGATGATGGGAGTGTGGTGGCGGTGAAGAGGGTGACGGAGGTTAGTGTTGGAGGGAAGAAGGAGTTCCACGACAGAATGCAAGAGCTTGGAAGGTTGAGACACTGCAATCTTGTTAGTTTGAGGGCTTACTATTTTTCCAAACATCACAACTTCCTCGTCTCTGATTTCATGCCCAATCATAGCTTCTCATCCCTTCTCCACGGTAACAACCGTCTTTTTAATATTATTCTATTCATATTACAAAGACATGTTTTTTCGAAATTTCTCACAAATTATATTCATTGTTGAGAATGGTGTTTTAAAATGATTTATGATAAATTTATCATATCAACCCCTTTCTCCAAACTCAAAATCAAACAAGATACTCTTCTTTCTACATATTGAGACCTCCCTACTTTATGTTCTGTTTTTTTTTTTTTTTCCTTAGTTAAGATAAGTCAACAGTGTCTGCCAGATAATTATTCATCCATGATGGTGAAATGAGTAATAGAGGCATGCATGCAGGGTACCCAGATGAAACTAGTCTTTCTTTTGTTTTTTTTATGGTAGGGGTCCATATTCATACCCAGGTCCTTCTTCCTTCTCTGCATTTTCCATCAATTTCTGACAACAAATTCTTAAATGTGCAGAAACTGCACCATTGCACGCATTAAGGAACAGGGGCTACTCTATAGATTCTTTTCTTATCAAAATAGGAAAACTACTTCATATTGTCCTTTGCTTTTTGTTCTTTTCCAAAACAACCTTTGGCCTTTTGCTTTTATCTTTAGCCACTCAACCCTGAGAATGTAACTAAAAAGAGCAAAGTTAGCCAACAACGACCATTTGAACCCTTCTACAAAAGTTAGATGTCATTGCTTTAGGTTTGGTAGAGAAGTAAGTAACATCATTTTCAATACAAGTTGTCTCCAATCAATCATAATTTTGGTGAATGGTACGATCATACACCATATTAAGCAGGGAACAGCCACATATAATAGAAAGTTAATATACTTCATGCCATTTTCTTCTATTACATTTAGATTAGGTTTAATTTAAATTCTACTCATTTAGGTCTTTTAATTTTAAATTCTTAAATTTTAACCTTATTTCATTTCCTTTCAGCTAAAACTGATCAACTCTCATTTTATACATTTGAGGAGCTACGCTGAATTTAATATTTTATAAATTGAAATTACAGTCAATATTTGAAGATAAGAAGTGAGGCTAAGACTTAGACAGTAAATAATATTATTTTTTAGTTGAGTAAAATTTGATGTTTTTTTATAAGTAAATATAAATTTAAGCTGTAAAGACTTTGTTGTATAGAAATTAGATTAAAAATAAGCTTGATCTTAAAAATAAAACCACATATTTTAAATTTAAAAAAACTTTAATTTATAATTAAACCTTATAATTGGTATGACATGTTATATTTATCTGAATTTTTTTTCTCTCTTACGATACGAAGAAAACTAATAGAAATAGATAGCGAAGAAAATTGTCAAATTAACATCAATATTAATTTTAAAAGAATCCCTCCCAAACTCATTATTTTCTTTTATTAATTAAGGTTTTCTGAATCTCTTAACAAATAAAATTTACCACATGTTAAAAACAATAGAAAAAAATAGTTAAATAAAAAGAAAAATTCAAGTAATATATTTTCTTTGAAAAAAAAAAAAAAAACTAACCAAGTATTTTAAATAGTGGGGGTTGGTGATTAACAAATGAGTGTGTCACGTGAGGACAGGTAATAGAGGACCAGGGCGGAGCCCAGTGGATTGGAGCACGAGGCTGAAGATCGTAGCTGGAGCGGCACGAGGCGTGGCCTTCATTCACAGTCATAAACTAACCCACGGTAACATCAAATCCACCAACGTCCTTATTGACGTCGCCGGCAACGGCCGCGTCGCCGATTTCGGCCTCTCCATCTTTGCTCCTGCCTCCGCTCTAAGCTCCAATGGCTACCGCGCGCCGGAGCTATCGGACCCTCGCAAGCAGACGCAGATGTCTGACGTCTACTCCTTCGGCGTTCTATTGATGGAGATGCTCACGGGGAAGTGTCCCTCCGCTGTGGACGGCGGGCACGAGGAGGCGGTGGACCTTCCTAGGTGGGTCCGGTCGGTGGTGAGAGAGGACTGGACGGCGGAGGTGTTCGATCTAGAACTGCTGAGCTATAAGGACATTGAGGAGGAGATGGTGGCGTTGCTGCAGATAGCTATGGCGTGCACTGCAGCCGCACCTGACCAACGGCCCAGGATGAGCCACGTGGTGAAGATGATCGAGGAATTGCGTGGAGTCCAGGTGTCACCGGGTCATGACGCGTTGGACATGGTGTCCGAGTCACTCTCCGTGGCTGAAGATGCAGCATGTACAGGTGGTGGACCAAGTGGATTTTAGTGACCTATCAAAACATTATCATTACTATTACTATTAAACTTTTATTTTGATTTCATCTATTATCCAATGTAAGCTAAGTTTTAGTTAGGGAATTAATACGCAATTTTATTGTGTGTACGTTTTTATTACATTATATAATTTAATTAATTTATTACTCTAATTTAACAATCCTAAAAAAAATTGTTATATAAAATCATGTTGAAAGATCCAAAATATTTTTGTTGAAAGCTTAAAATATAAAATTTAAATACAAATCAGTGTGTTAAAATATATAAGTAAATTAAAATTGCAAAAAAATAATAATAAAACCGTTAAATTCAATGAAAATTCAATCAGATGGTTAACAAATATAAGTTTATCTCCATTAAAACTTGAAATTTTGTTGTCTTCAATGAATATATGAACGGAAAGGTCTAATATTGTCCTTAGATTCGTCCTGTTGTTAGGCTTACCTTCTATAAATATATATGGTTATATATTTTTTAAAATATTATATTACTTGTTTTAATACAATCAAATATATTGTTTTTAGTGAGACTATTTGTCTATATTTTACTAAATACACATTTAAAAATTCAAATATTTGAAAATAAAAGTACCTTAATTACTTTTCGTTCAGGAACGATCCTATTTTGTGATTGAAAATGAAGCACTCAATAGTTATAAAATCAAATTAAAATAATGTTTGGAGATACTGTTACATGTACATGACGCTTGGACCAAACCTCATGAGCCTGGTCAACGAAGAGGGCAAGAATTTCCTTGCAAAGAGAAAACAAGGATTTGTGTGATTTCCAAACTTGCCATTATATTCACATTTCTTGTTCCTCAATTTCTCCAAGAAGGCTTTAGTAACCTCTGTTCTGACATATTTGGTTGGGTGCTGCCCACCCTTTGACCAATCAACCCAAGTCAAACTCCTATTTGAGTTCTTCTTCCAAAACTTAATGCTAACAAATGTTGGCAAGTAATGTTCATCAGCATAACATGATCCTTTGCACAACACTTGAAAAACTGGGAAGTACATTCTGTCTGACACTACTTCCAATGCTAGCTCTCTGTCCATTTCAAACCACTGAGACCCTTTTCTCCATTGCTGGAGGGTGATCGTGGGAGACATGTGGATGCTGTAACGTCCACGTCCAGCTGCACTATCCAGATCATAAGCCATCACGTAGCTTTGGGTGGAGTTCATTAAATAAGAGTAGATTGTTGAGAAGTTGAAGATAGGAATGCAAGACTCTGACATGAGAACAAACCGTTGGTTTGAGAAATCAAGAAGGGCATTGGCCAGTAGGCGACGCTCTGCTTCAATCATGTTGAATTTGCCCCACTCCACTTCCTGCATTACAACCAGAGTAGGATATGTCAGATCCAGGTGTTGTTGCTGTTAAATTTTACCACAAATTTACTTTAAATGAGTTCGTTTCACTTCTGATCATTCATTTAAAACACTTGTTTTAATGAAAATTTTTATATTTTGAGAGGTATGTGACTTAGCAGGAACTAATCTTCATTGTACTTATCCAAGTCAATATATTTGGTTCAGAGTAAGGTAATTGTAAATGCAAAATAGAAATTGAATACCGAAGTACTGACCTTGCTAGGAATTCTTCTTCTATGAAACACTGAAGTCTCCGGGTCTGAACCATTGAAAGAAGGATTGGAATGCACGTAAATAGAGTAGAACCCTTCATGCCCTGTGAAGAACTTTTCCCAAAAAGGAGCCAAAGGCACAAGATCCCTTACCAAGAACATGAAGGCCACCTTTGGGACTCGATCAAAGGGGTATTCACGAATCTTAGGGTTCATTGAAGCTCTCCAAAACAGTTCTTCATCACTCATATCATGCACAACATTAGAAGGCAGAATATACTCTTTTATACCATATTGCACATCATTAGAAGGTTGAATAAACTCTTTTAGATCATGCTCAACATTGGAAGCCTGAACAAACTCTATCACACCATGCTCGGCATTGGAAGACTGAATAAACAATTTTAATCCCTCCCTATCTTGGCTATAATTACATACTTCCAGTTTCTCAAATGCTGGGGGCATTAGTGTTGACACATTCTGTGACGGAGAGCGTGAGGACTGAGTGAACTGTAAACAGCTCGTAAGAAAGAAGCTGATGATGATTCCAATGGTCACACCAATGGCCAAAAGGAGGATTTTGGGAAGGAAACGAGCAAGCTGGAGATGAAAATGCTTTGAAATAGAATTTAATGGATTTTGATTATTTGAACTCGTCATTTTTAAAAGCTGAAAATATTACTATAAAAAGAGAAGTTCCCTAGAGTATAAGGCTTAAGGGTTTCCTTTGTCAAGAAAGGCTAAAAGGTACAAAAACTCGATATTCTCTAATAAGAATGATTATAAGATGTTTGGCATAGCTTGTTTATGGCATATGAAACTGGTATAAGACAAAGGTGTAATACTTCAAAGTAAAGTTGTGAGAACAAAATCACCAAAACCATACTTATCTTCTGATCAAAATATGTAAATAGTCATAAACCATAACAAAACAATAGAAAGGATCAAAGAAATAAAGGATCCCCAAAGGTAAAACAGTTCTAAAATATGATATGGACAGTTGAAAAGGTGAGTTAGAGAGAGAAAGCTATGTAACAAAACAATTACTGATATAGAGAGATCATGCTACTCTGTCTGCGCCTTGTCTGGTTCAAATCTATGCAGGGGGCAGCGAGAGTCATCACATGGAATTGGAGACTTCGAAGACTATATACACAGGGTAAGAAGGCCTTACTCTCTCTTTTTTTTTTTCTTTCGTGAAACACTGAGTTTGCTTTATTTGCTTGTTTTTGGCAACCTGTAGAAGGGAATAAAGTTTTATTAGAAACTTACAGATAAATACCATTACACTACGCACTCGTAATTGGAACATGGAAACCACAAAGTCTCAAGTTAGAACATAAAAGGAAATGCAGACTTTACAGTTACAATCTTTTGTATCCTAATTTAATGACTATAGCCATATGATGAGGACCAAGCTACAAAACTGACGGGCTATTGTTTTCTTGACCATGACTTTGATTGATTGGTTAATAATATTTTTCTAAGAATCTAATGGAGACCACATATAGATAGCAGTACATTGAAAACTCTTCAACGATCTCAACATTGTTACGTTCAAAAATAAAGAACTGAAAATGATGTTACTGTTTAGTTTTTAGGCTGCACACATCCTGTGGGGGAGAATAGGCCAAATATCTTAGTTTATTTGCCTCATTTAAGTGGAGAGAGTCACACTGAGAGACTTATTATTAAAAATATAGCGACACATATCTACCAGAGTCTCGGAACTGCAGTGAGAATTTGTTCACTGTTGGGTTTTGAGTTCATGTCTATATTTTTATTTAGAATGAAAATGCTTCAATGCTTTTCCTTATGAAAGGATCATTTGAAATCTCTTCAATATTTTCTCTCATGTTACTACTTCCATGTTGTAGTTCTTAAATAACTGTCATGTGCAGTGAAAATAGAAGAAACACGAAGCAAACCTGGTTGTTTTTGGTTGAACACTTCCACTTAGTAGAGATTAATCACCATGTGGCTTCACTTTCAAAAGCTAGTTAGGAAATCTTTGGACAATCTCCGTTCACATGAATCTGCATACACTTCCAATAATAAATTAAAATTTCTCATAAATATTGCAATCATTTAAGATTTATATCCAGTCATGTTGAATAACATAACAGGACCATATTAGTGAGAGAAATACATAAATTTTGGATCAAATATGTACCTATATAAATAGATTTATTTATTATTTTACTGCTATGATAAGAACAATAACACCATAGTAATCCAAAGTTGCACAAATCTTTTAGTTCATTTGACATTTTGTTATGCTTCAAAAAGGTTGATGCAATAAAAATCATATACAATCATAATTTATCTTCTACAAAAATTTGCAAGGAATCATCTTATAGATGATTATTCCAATCGCAGGATCAAAACTTTTATCAAGATGATAGATCAAAGGAAGAAACAACAAAGAAAACTTTTTGCAAATAAAAATAAGCTTGGTAATAGAACCAATAATTGCTTCTCTTCAATCTTATGAGTACAATGAATCATTGTGGTAATTGTTTAGTTTCTTCCCTGAAATATAGTTAATTAACTAAAGATAATTTTTTTAAGAAAAAACTTGCATCAAAATCTAGGGGTAGCTCATGAACATAGAAAATCAATCCATGGATCCTATGCAACCCAAATTAGAAGCTTAAAGTAACTAAACAATACCTATTCTGAAGCACTTCACGTCTTGGACATTATTGCCACAATAAATTGACTGTTACATTTAATACAGATGATTATTTAAATACAGTTGTCTGAATATTATTTATCAAATTCACTCTTATCCCTCATCCTAAATACTGATTCATGAGTGATACCTTTTATTTATTTGGAAATCCATTTGGCAAACCAACTAAAAATGAATAAAAAAAATGGAAAAGGAGGCAAATTAGACAGAGGGAAGAAAGACCACTTGCCATGGCTAACAGTAGAGCTTGACTCTATGAATACAGTTCCGTAGATGGAAGGAAGGAAGAAAGAAAGATGAGTTAACAAACTTATTTAGGCTTTAGAAATTTGACCATTTCAAGATTTGAATACAGAAAAATTATAGGAAAGAATATATTTATAAAAGTGCGAAATATTTATTCATTACAGTTGTTTAATTATAAATAAATATTATTTTAACTTTTCATTTATTATTATAAAAAATATCATTAATTTCTCAATTTATTTTCTAATTTTAAAAGGTTTTGCAAGACGGAGAAAATAATATAAAATATCTAATTAAGTTTGAGAAAACAAATATTTTATCAATAATTATATAAAGTTATATTATTTTATTAATATTCATTATTTTAAAACATTTGTATATGAAACTAGCATTTTGTTCTTTTTACCATTTGTTATATTTATATTATGATGATCAAAATTACAGTATCACCCAGTCTTCTAAAAAACAGTGTGCCCAAGTATTTTCTTTTATTGAAATTTAGCATTATCGAGTTATTAAAACTTAGGTGTATCATGTTAAATAAGTGATCAACAAATAATCACACCAAAATTAATTACTTTCATTTTATTATTATAAGAAACTAAGAAAATCGTTGTATACAAAAAAAGGCGAATTAGGTAATGCAATCCATGTCAAGCAAACCCATGCAAGGAGAAATTAACTTGAGAAGCCCTGGGTACAGATGTTTAGACAAAAAATGTACATATCCCTATTTTAGTTTAGTAATTTGAAGATATGGTTGCATATGTTCTTATTTTTGAAGTCATAGTTAAGAATCGTAGATATTTGAAACCATAATGATTATTATGTATAGCTGTTTAAATTGTAAGAACTTTTGAATTAAGGGGAATGTTTGTTTTGTAATTGAAAAGTTCATATCCTCTTGCAAAGTTAGTTATTAACTAATTTCTAGATTCTTTTGTTTTAACTCCATGCATAAGTGGAGTTGATATACCTTTTCAAATAAGAGAGTATAACATACAATTCCATTCCTTGTATAGGTGTGTACGTATTTATGATTGAGAACATGACCTTATTCACATCTTCACCTTTATTTATTTGCTAATATAACAATTCTGGTACAAAAAATAATAAGATGCACTAGGTTACAAATTAAATGTAGGGAAGGAAGTAAAAAAGAACATAATTGTCAATCAATGTCTTGTTAGCTGCTCTTTCTTTCCGAGAGGAATTGACGAAGCTTTCATGTTAGACTGAGAAGGTGGTGGCCCCCTATCGATGCCACTGGCTTCTGGGTGGGGTTTGTTCGGTTCATTGGATTTGGAAGAGCCTTGAGGATACCCCTTATCCTCTCGGGCTACAACTCGCTTCAAAAACCTGTTTATCATCTCATAACTCGTGAATGTAATAACAGCAGATGGAGTTGTTCTCAATAGATTGGTTGCGCAACCACGATAAAATCCTGGAATGCCTTCCTTTTGAAACACCTTCTTAGTACAGTCAACAACCCCTGCATATTGGATCCCATTATTTTTTGCCTGCCCTTGCTCTTGCAGCCGGGATCGTATTACCTGAAAATATGATGTTTAATGGCATAAGAGTGTCGGAAAATATTATGTTATGTTGTGTCACTCAAAGGTCCTGCAGTTATCATCCACCCGTAGAAATTTAGCCAGAGGAAGGTCATACATACCTCATGTGGATAAGTCATTACAGAGGCAAATACTTTTGAAATTGAAGATGCAATGGCAACACTCCCAGTACTTAGCTTATCAACAGTTGTGTTGTCTATAAAATATTGGAAAGTTTCATTTGATGAGCAACACATACCAAAAAGACAGAAACTCACTTATTTCAAGGACTGTTGAATGAATACTTAATTCACAATCTGCATCAATACCTTTTTCTGCCATGTATGACTTGATCTTTTCATATGCTGGAAACTGAATTGCAACATGACTTATACCAGCCAATGAAGGAATAATGCCACTGTCTCACATTAACAAAATACTGTCAGTGTTAACCAAATACACACAAACAGACTCAAGCTATCATGCTTTCAGTTCACTTTATTATTTTTTACAATCGAAAAGAGGTTTGATATGGTGCAGCAGTGTCAACATGAAGATCGTTTGCTTACATCTAAGGACTACTTAACTTTGCATCATATATATAAACATGGGTGGGGATCAACTAATAAAGATGTATGATTTCATAAACTTACTCCACTTAACAACTTCCAATAGAATTTTTTTTCTCACTGATCCAACCATTCAATTGTAACATTAATATATAGATCTTGCTACCAAATATGAACATGATACAGTGATTGATATTTTTGTTTTTCTTTTAAATTATACAGGTAGTACTAAAACTATTTTCATCTACATTTCATGATGGCCCGTCTATTTCTTTAAGATTTATCTTTTAATGTATTAACTTATTATTCAAGAGTTAGCTTGTTTCTTTCTGCGGTGACAGATCTTGGTAGCAAATAGTTTATTAAAATAGATTGTTCCCTTTCCAAAAGAAAATGGATTGTGATGGTACATGCAAAATTTCAAATGAAACAAGAAATTTTTTGTAAAAAGAGATATTATTTGATGTTATTTACACAAATTGACAGACTGCTTGAAACTAGGAGAAAGAAAACTGACCTATATAGGCCTCGTATGCCTTCCTCATGTGTAATCCTAGTCAGAGCAGAAAGAACACTCTTGTAAGGAACAACATCAGGCCTCATTCCTTGTGTCTAATGCGTATCAGGAAAAAATGAATTAGGGTCCAATCTTAGCAAAAAAATACCATGTATCTTTATCTACTAATAGATGAAACGAATAACTGATTTTTAATAGTAAACTTCATCGAAACTTACTTGTAGTCTTGTCTTAACAACCCATAATGGATTTGTAGAAATTGCTGTTGCTGCCCCAGCACCAGCAGCAGCTATAATATTTCCCATAGTTGTGAGTTCGTTGCAACCATCTGATACAGTATTTCCCATAATGAACATTATTAAAAATATAGTTGATCCAGCAAATTAAATATTATATATGAAAACTCATACAAGAGAAAATTATTTTTTGACAACTATGGTATTATATCCTGAAGCCTTAAGAGAAGACATAAATGCTTAAAAAGTACTCAACATTGAGATAATATATACCACGGGAACGAAGCAGGCCCTTTAGTTGCTCATAACTTGTGAAGTAAACCTACAATAGACTTCATGTTATTTGAAAAGATATGAACTATGAAAAGAAAATATCAAACTTAAACATAATAATAAAGATCATCCATATTATAATATAAAAATATGATTAATGCTTTGGAAAAGGATCCTCGTGGACAAAGTAGATGCAACTGGTCTGGGAGATTAACTTTTAGTTTGTTTCTCATACTAATACAAAGGTATATGTTGCTTTGCACCGCTGGGGAGAGCTAGTCATTTTAGATGATTGTTGCTAGTTATAGAATTACCTCTTCCAACCACAATTCGGGATATCCCAAGAGTGGAAATATGAAGCCATGTATGGTAAAAAAAATAATTAAACATAGAGATTTATTTCAAATGACCATACAAAGTGCTCTAAATAATTTCTTCTGAAAAAGATGCAAAAATTTGTTTTATCTCTTGACCTAAATAGGAATGGAGACTTAACATAAACACTAGATTCTATCATAAAATGAAGCAAACAAAGAAAGTTAACACATTTTTTAATGAGACCAATAAGTTTGTAAACTAGTGGTAATGATTAATGAACAAAACTGTGCCCAAGAGATGATTATGTGTCAAATAAGAATTGATATAAAGATTATCATCAGTTATATTTCAGAACAAATAAAAAAACTTGTTTATGTCCATACCCAAACAAAACAGAAGGGGAGACTGAACATAAAAGTAGATTGTATTAAAAAATAAACCCAACAATGAAAGAGAAAACATCTATTAATGAGACAGAATTTTGAAAACTAGTGGTAATGAACAATGTATTAGCACGTAGTTTGCAGAAGAATGTATCATAGAGAGGATTATGAGACAAATAAAAATTTATATGAAGATTATCATCAGTTATGCATAAGACCAAGCCCTGACACAAAGGCAAACCCGAAGCACATCCGGGGGTTCGTTCACAGAGCCTTGCATCTTTAGCTACAACAGCCATTAGTTAGAGAGCAACAGGAAAAGAAACTCACTGCCCAGTTTGGAAGTAATGCCAGTATCGTTGGTGAAAGGCCACGGTACATTCCCCTGAAGCCTTCATTCCTTACTATATTTTGCAAACTTGTGACAATGACATTACCTAGAAAACAACAAGAAATCAGGCTAAAAAATTAATCATTTAAGAAAATCAAGCTTTGGATTGAGCTCACATCACCCAGTTTAGACTACATGTTGATGACACAATCACAAACATTAAACACTCCGAAGGAGAAGCACTTCTAAAAAAACTTAGTAAAATCTTCTCAAGGACACAAATCGAATAAGCTTATGTCAATTATCAATTATCAATGATTGAAAACTTCTCAATCTTAACACAAATCCACGGCATTGTCAGAGGCCTGTTAACTGCATGTTTGGTTTTGCCTCATATACCCACTTTTTCTACTGAAATTGCGTCAAAACGTGAGATATGATGGAAAAGCTATAAATTGGAGCACGTCTGATAGTATGAAACATGGAACCAGACATGCAATAAGTCAATGTTTCAAATTTCAGACCACACATGAGTCGCAGTTGCAACATCTCAATTGCACCAGAATCGTCTAAAGAACACAACAGTAGACACAATTTAAAGCCCTGCATCAAACAGGGTACCTTTCTGCCCATGAGGAAGGCCATGGACTTGTAGCCTAGTCTTGATCACATCCAATGGGCACACAAATGTAGCCGCTATTGCCCCTGCACAATGCAATTATATAGTTAATTCACCAATGGTGAATGTCACGCTGTTAAACAAGCCATTCTGGAAAAAAAAATAGCATAGAAGTGACCAAAATAGCATCTGAGAATCAAAATTCACGAAATTCACAGAGAACCATTTAAAATGAACCCATATTAGAAAGAGGGTCGAAGCCAAAGAAAGAAAAAGTTTATTACCAGAAGCGGCACCAGCAGCAGCATTGCAAATTACAGCCCTAACGTGGAGATTACCACCAGAAGTTTTGTCATTGCAACTCATATTAGAACCCCACTATGCAATTTATCAAAATCGAAGGCAAGTAGTTTCTTAGTTTGCAGAAGAAGGGAAGGGAGTTATTTTCATGGCAGATCCTACGAACTTGTTTCTTTATATACCTTTCAAGTGTCGAGGGGAGACACATAGAGGGTGTGATTTGGAGATTAACTTGAAGGAAGGTTTTTGTTTATGCGGCGAATTGGTCTAACGAAGGGGCTGGAACGTGTTATTTGGGAATGGGAAAGTGCGAAGTAAAATCAACAAAGGGTCTGGTCTCAAGAGTTGAAAGTTGAAATAGAATGGGAATCTGTTGGGTTATTTCTACTCTTTTTCTGTCTCGTTGAATGGTTTCTTCTCTCTCCGGGTCTTTGGGGCAATCAGATTCTGTAGTTCACACTCAATTAATTCACTTTAAGTTTAACAAACTAGAAACAGGGTTCCAAGTCTCAGGCAAACGGTGGAGAACCCACGAAGGATGAGATCTTCTAATCATCTGGTTGACAGAAAAAGGAAGTTCTTGGCTCTTGGTTTTTCAGTGGCTGCAGTTGATGGGTTGGTCTCGAAAGCTTCGTAATGTTTCTTACATTCGCAGAGACACTCAAAAGGGAAAAGCTTACTCCATACGCGATCGATGGCCGTGAGGCTTAGGACAAAGCTGTGAGATTATAATAATATGAATTAATTGCCACCGCCGCCGCAGTTAATCTTCTCCACCACCATTATCTCTGTTAAGTCCGACACGTCAAAATGGTAAAACCATTTGGTGACATTGCGTCCAACACAAAATATGTCTCCATCCAAATATTCACTTGTTTATATATTTTAAATAAATACAAGATACCACCCAATTACACTGCTCAAGAATAAATAATATCTCCTAAAATAAAATAAAATAAATTATTAATATATTTTATAAACATTTATAAAATTTAATATCACCCATTTTTGTTATTGAAGAAGAATCTGGCTACAGTGAAATCTTTTCTCTGTCATTGTGTGTCTCAAGAGCCTGAGAAGGCGCGTTTGGTTTGGCTGGAGCTCATATTACAGAATGCATCTGGGATTATGTTTAGAAACAAACAATATTTCTGAATTAATTATAAATTGTTGATTTTGTGATGATAAATTTTAGTACACGTGTTTGTGATTAATATTTTTAATTTTTTAATAATTTAAGTCAATTTAAAAATATTTATTATATAAAATATGTTTAAAAATGTCTTTTTTATAATTACTAATCTAACACCAACTATTCTCACCTTTAAAAAAACAATATCATATTACAAATTTTAATATTCCAAGAAGTTAGTTATACATTTTTTAGAATAATTAAAATTAATTAAGATACTTTAATTATTTATCTTTTACTAATTTAACCCAACAAATGTTGATAAATTTTGTAAATGTTTATATTTCAAGATATTTTAATATTAATTTTATATGATCAAAATTAATAAAATGGAGTTTACTTAATTTTTGTGAATCATTCATAGTTTTAATAAAGTATTTCTATTAATTTTTATAAGTTTGAAATTAAAGAAAAAAATGCAATCGCTTGTAATGATTTAAAGTTGTTATATTGAATTAAACTTTATAACTTCAACAAATCAGAGTTTTAACACAAGCGATTTTGTTACATAAAATATATAAAAAAATTGTATTAATTTTTAAATAATTACAATAAGTCAGTTTGAAACTAATAAATTAATCAAAAAAATAATTTATAATTTTTCAAGTATATATTTTTAATGAATTGAATGTCCATTATTCATACTTTCAATAAAGCATTTATAATATTTAAAAAAATGAATTTTTAAAATTAAAAAATTATAAATATTTAGATTTATGATAATTGAATTTAACTATTTATTTCAACACTACTCGGCTTCAAATAAAACATTTGTAATGTTCATAATCATTAATTTAATAGAGTCAAATATATATTTTTGGTACCTGAAAATATTTTATCAATTAAAATAGAATTTATAACTTTTTATTAATTTATTCATTTAAAAATGTAAAGATATTTTTTATTTAACGTTTTATTTTTTATTAATTTAATCTTTTTAAAATGTAAACAATTTGAATTTACACGAAATAAGAGTGTATGGATATTATAGTCACAGTAATAATATTATTTGGGTTAATTATTACAGATTTGTTTTTGAAAGACAGGTTGATTGACAAAAAGTTATATGTATAAACTATCTTATCTTTAATTTATAAACGTGAATTATGAGTGTATCATATTAATAACTATTATAAAATTTTGTGTTTTTTGAAATTTAATGATATTTTAAACGAAGAAAACCAAGTCAAATTGTATCTCTAATGCTTGGAAAATTTAGGAGGAGAACTTCAAAGAAAGTAGAATAAATTGTGTGTGATCAAAGAAAAATAAGCCGCAATTGAAAAGAAAAATAGAAAGAGTTTAGAAATGTATTAAAAGTTTGAGTGATGGCATTTATATATTTCTACTAAAAAGTAAACGTGAAGTTTATTATAATTGTTTACAGGAAGACCTATGCACCAGTTTCATACCTACCAAAACCTGTTGAATGACTATGAGAGGACTTCCACTCATGATTGAAAGTGGGTATAGAATAGAAGGCTGAAAGAGGAAAGAATGGAGATATTTAATGATATTTTCTCATGTATTGTGATCTGTCACAAATCCTATCTTCTATTATACTAACAATCCTAACTAAAATGAAAATATAGATCACAAGCAGACTAACAAATGTACGTTCCCTTTCATCAGTGTGTTTTGCGAAGGTGTTGTGGGCTCATCACAGTGTTTGGACGAGGTAGGTGAGCATAGCTTTGTGAAGCCCTGGGATGAACGACAATTTCCTCCGGATTCGGTGGTTCATCCCTGCCACTGTGAATTCTCTCCAGCTCCAACAATACTTCATCCATAGAGGGTCTCAAATCCTTGTCCCCTTGCAGACAATGAGAGGCCAATTCTGCCACTGAACCTATCATACTTTTTACTTTCTCGTCTGACTGGAAACCAAGGGAAGGATCTACCAATTCACAAAAGGATCCCTTTTGAATCTTCCTAAGGGCAAGATTTGCCAACTTAATATCTTCCCTGTCCCTATTCATATCAACTGCTTTGAGAGATGATATTAACTCAACAAGCACAACTCCAAAGCTATATACATCACTCTTTTTTGTCAGCTGGTAGCATAGGCGATAATCCGGATCTACATAACCTGGGGTTCCCCTTGGAACTGTGGAAACGTGAGTGACATCATCGGGGAACAATCTTGAAAGACCGAAATCCGAAACCTTAACACCAAACTCATTGTCCAGGAGAATGTTGCTGGTTTTCACATCCCGGTGAATGATGACAGAAGCGTGGAGATAAGCCAATGCTCGAGCAGTTTCTATGGCAATTTTCATTCTTAAAGGCCATGATAAAAGGCGTGAATTTGCTCGATCACCATGGAGATGGGAACTAACACTGCCATTAGGGATGTACTCGTATACTAGAAGTAACTCGCGGCCGTTACGCGAAGTGCAGCCATGGAGGCACACAAGGTTTCTGTGGCGCAGACCTTTGAGGATCTGAATTTCATTGATGAATGACTCCACTGGCCTGTAGTTGCGCTCGATCAGGCGCTTCACTGCAACTTCACGACCATCTCGAAGTATTCCTGGTTTTTCCAAACAAAAGCGTAAGTTATTCAACCTGACAAAAATTCATCTTAGCCTCTCTTTTTCTAGTAGTATGATTTCTTAAGATCGCAAGATTTCAAACTATGATTCTGAAGGTTAGAACAGCCACAATTGTCAGTAATTTGAGCAAAACATTACTCACTTTTTCTTTATTCGGTTCCACCTCACTTTCTTCTTGTCTCAATTATTTTTATCATATCATCTATCACGCCTTTAAGTTTCTCTATTCTTTATATCTCCCTCCTTTATCGATTATAATCCACCCCACCATTGAGTTGACTTGACGCTAATCAAGACTATTTTGGTAATTGGATGCAATTACAACTGCTTTTAAAACTTTGCTTTAAAATATTAAAAATTTACATGAGGATCTATGAATTAAAAAAGTAATGGCTGGTGATATATAACAACAGTTGAAGTTAAAATGCAGTTTTTCTTCCCTTTTTTAAAAAAACCTGGAAAACTGATAGGGTGAATACGCGTAAGTGCAAAAGGGTGTGAGAATCTGGAGTCCCTTACCGTAGTAAACAATTCCAAAGCCTCCTTCTCCAAGCTCCCTAGCTTGATCAAAATTGTTGGTTGCCTCTTGGAGCTCCTCATAGGAGAAGACAGGGACCCCAAAGTAGAAACGTCCACTCTCTCTGGTCGTTGTAGTTCTAAAGGAAGCAGAGTAAGCCCTTCTTGATACGTTTTGGAGGCCTGCATCTTCCTTGCTTCCTTTGCGCCAACAAAGAACAACGACAACAACAACAACAACCAAGACAACAACTGTAACAACGAGGATTGATATTTCAACGTAGAAACCTGCAAAATAAGCGAAAAAGAAAAACGCCAGCTTGTTAAATAAAAGCAACGATGGAGAGAGAATAGTGTCTCGCCTTCTTCGACATTCCTATGCTGTAGGTATCCCAATTAAATAGCAACATACAAGATTTTTGTTTAGGGTGATTCAAAATTATAGTTTAATTTACGCAATACATTACAGTACCTCTGTCCCTAGCCTTCGACGTAGCAGGTTGAGAAGTCGGCGGTTTCGACATATCAGTCGGCGGTTCTGTAGACTTGGGTCCATCATCATGGAAACAAACGAGGCCTTTTCCCTCCTCAAACCGAAATTTACATAGGGGAGGGTAACAGTATGAACAACTTTCGGGTATGTTTAATTTAATTTCGAGAATAGAGAATAGAAATGTATATGAAGGGCAAGTACGAGTGGTTAGTAAGCATGCGAATGGAAGAAGGATAGAGATGGGCATGGAAGAGCTGAGAACAGGGGTAGAACTGAAATAGATATCGTGGTGAGGACAGTGTGTATATAATAAGGTCATCTCTGAAATGTTTGAAGGGATTTGGCTTTTGTAGTCATGGGAGTCCCAAGAGCATCCGGAGAAGCTAAAATTGTTAACAAAAGGCTTTTCAAGCAGCTCTGGAGCAAATTCGGCGTCAATATCAGGGCGGATGAAAATTGAAAGGTAATTGAGATGGAAAGTGGGAGGGAAGAATATGGTTTCAATTTTATGCCAATTGTGGCCTGTCAGTGAGAATTCTTTATCTGCATGTAAGTTGTCACAGCCCCTTATTTGCCACCCACATTTTGGATCGGGACTTGTTGTGAAGGGGAAGTAGATTTCCCCCAGATACCCACACGGTTGAGGATCTGGAGGACAAGAGAAAACAAGAAGCATGAAACAAGAGACTAGAAAATGGAAGCCAAATATGGAGAAACCAAACATGGTATGCCCCTTGAGCAAAAACACTTGGTTCGTTAGTTTTATTTGTATCCAGTGTTGATCCTGGTTTGTCTTCATGATATAGTGGAATTAGTTGAACACCACCGTGTTGTGTCGTGTGTGTCAACTACGTTAGTTGACTTGACTTAACCCAGACTCCAGAAATTAACCCGAAAGAGGGGTATTCCCATTTCTGCACATTCTTCTGCAGAGGGCCCCAAACATGGGGCTGCCACGACTCCAACGCCTTGACTTGTGAAGCTGCCCTTTTCACGAGCTCCAATTGCATATTTGCTCACAAAAAATTCAAGATAATTGAGGCCACTCTTCTTTATGAACCGTATGTTTATGTACGATTTAGGTTAATCTGGACTAATGTAGGAGTAAAAGTTACACTGCACTTCGAACACATATTTGAGTTATACTTTCAATCAAATCCCCTTTTTTTCATAGATATCCGTATTTGGCCTATGTTTGCTACCATTGAAAGAGAGTCGAACAGTAAGCTCCTGTCTGTTTCCAACGACGGAAAGGGGACGCTCAGAAATACGAGATTTCAGGCATTTTTAGTGTAAAATTATGAAAATCGAAGGAAATATTCATCCTCTCGCATGCGAAAAAAAGTATAAATTTTTTATATATTTACTCACATAATCGAGTACAGATAATCTCATTATGTTTCAAATTTTTTTATTTAATATTTTTTTTGTTTTCTATATTATTATAATGATAAATAATTAAAAAATTATATTAAAATATATATTAAAATAATAAATGAATTTATTTTACTTTTCACTCATTTTTTTCGTTTTTAATCCAAATAATTATATTTTTCACTCTCTTTTTCACGTTCTGTATTCTTTTCAAATCTATTTTCTAATTCAAACAAAGCTTAAATGAAAAAATAAAAATAAAAAAAGTTGAAGTTGGATGATTGAAAGTGTGAAAGCGTGAAGTGATGCATAATAACAAAACAGTGAGATCCATCCAAAATCATTTCCACCCTAAAACATGATTCATCTTTTATTCGTTTTTATCTAATTTCTACTTTCTTTCAATAATAATAATATTATAAGCTTTTATTTCCTTCTGTTATGATAATATAACACAAAATAATTATGATAAAAATAAATATTAATAATAATAAAAAATAAGTAATATTAATAAATAATCATATAATTTAAAATATTAAATACTCTAAAAATTACTTTCATTTTATCCTTCCTTTATTCCGAAAAAATATTCTATTCATTTCTTTCTTATTTTTTTTTCAATTATCAAATAATCTTTTTTTGACAAAATAATTATTTACAAAAAAGATAAATTAATACGAAATTTTTTATTATTAAAAATAACTTATAGTTAAACGGTTGAAATAATTGTCACTACTCTTTCTTATATTTGTTTACTTTTGTTTTCTATTAAAGAAAGATAAAGTTATTATTCTCTTTTCTTGATTACTTAATTCAATTCTATATAACTAAGTTCTTGTACATTTCTAATCATTTTGAATACATAAGATATTTTATTTTTTACATTATGTGATATGGTATCACATTTGTAAAACATCCCTTCGTCTTCCACACATATCTTCTTGATCAATCATGACTTCCTTTAGCCAAAACAATTCACCATCAAATCATATTGTTAATCCGACTAACTCTTTGTATCTTCATCCCGGTAAAAATTCGATAGTGATTCTTGTTTCTTCTTTATTGACTGAAAACAATTTTCATCAATGACAACGAGAGATGTTTGTGGCTCTTGAAACCAATAACAAAAAACGATTCGTCAATGACAATCTTCCTTATCCTGCGACTACCAATCCTCTTTCACGCTTGGTGTAGATGCAATCGCATGGTTATGTCTTAGCTAACGTGTTCCATGAGTCCCTTCATCAAGCAATCTATTATATGGATAGATATTGGTTCTGAAATTTGGAGAGATCTAAAAGAACGTTTTTCTCATGCTGATAAGTTTCGTATTGATATTCTTCAAGATCAAATCTAGAACTGCAAACAAAGTGATTCAACTATCTCTAAATATTATACCGAATTAAAAATCCTATGGAAAGAGATCAAGATGTATATATGTGTTATTCTCTGCACATGCACCATGCCATGTTCCTATCTATGGACTCATTTCCAAATGACAAAAAGACAGGGAAGATGATTGCATTATTCGATTCCTTTGAGACCTCAATGACGAATATTCACAAGTTCGTTCTCAAGTGATAATGATGGATCCTATGTTGTCGATTGTCAAGACTTTCTTCATGATCCTTCAACATGAACGAGAATTTGTGGGGAATCCCTCTCCTTCTATATTTCAAGATTCTGTAGTTTTTTTTGTCCAAACAAATGATTCTTCCAAGTCTAATAATTTCAACAAAACTCATAACGAGATGAACAAAAACACAAAACTTGGAAAATCAAATAACAGAAACACAAAATATTGTGAAAAATGCTAGAAAACCAATCATATTATTGAAACTTATTATTGGAGAATTGATTTTCCTATTGGATACAGAAAATCAGGTCATGCAAATTCCTCTGGTACCACCGCCTCTACTAGTTTGGCAGAAGTAGATCTAGATACTATTTCATAATAATCTAAAATGGTTGAAGACTCTACTCATAACCAATTCAGTTTATCCAAAGAACAATATTAGGCTATCATGTCTCTTCTTCAACAATTCAATCTTAATTTGTCTTTTATTTATCAGATTCAAAGCTCTGTTCCAAATCACTCAGGTGATGTCTTTTACCCTTTTTCTTGCATTGTAGATAGTGGTGCAACAGACCACATATGTCCATCTAAAATTTCTTTCACCCTTATAAAACCTATTACCCTAATTCAAATTAAACTACCTAATCATACTATTATCATGGCTCATTTTTATGGTAGTGTTAATCTTGGAAAATTAACCCTTCATAATGGTATGTATGTACCAAATTTTGTTGCATACCTGATATCAATTTCCAAACTTCTTTCTACTAATGATTACATTATTGTTTTTTGTGATACAACTTGTTTAATCATGCAGAAATCCAACATCTAGATGATTTACCTAGATAAGCAATGGAATAACTTATTTAACCTCAAAGATTTCAGTGATTTGAAAACATGTGGATTGGGTTCTACCACTACTATCAATACTTCTCACATTGCCACTAACAGCCCCATGTTATGGCATCATAGATTAGGTCACACTTCACATAAAATATTGAAACACTTATCTTCAAAATGCAATGACATTATTTTTTATTGCTTATAATCTTATGATACATGTCATTATGTAAAATAGAAAAACTTGTCTTTCCACAATAGTAATAACAAAACTTTCATTTTTTTTTAACTTATTCACGTGGATATTTAGGATCCGGTTGTTATCTTTTCTATTTATGGTTTTTAACATTTTCTTAACTGTTGTAGATGATTTCACTTGTTTTACTTGGATTCATTTCTTAAAAGCAAAATATGATGTTAGAACTATTCTCCCATCTTTCATTCACTTAATTGAAAACCAATTTGTCTTAAAACTAAAGAGAATTTCGATCTGACAATGATAAAGAGTTTTTCTTAATTGATGTTTACTCCATTAAAGACATTTTTCATGAAACTTCATGTGTTGAGACCCCTCAACAAAACAACATTATTGAAAGGAAGTATCAATATTTGTTAAATATTAGTCATGTGTTGTTTCAATCTCATTTGCCAAATTGTTTCTAATCTTTTGTTGTTAAACATGTCACTCATATCATAAATAGACTTCCCACTTCTTTTCTACAATTTAAATCCCCTTATGAATTAGTGCATGGTCATGTCCTATCTTAAATCATTTACAAGTTTTTGGATGTTTAGCCTATGTTACTACTATTATTGCTGGGAAAACCAAACTTGATAAACGTGCCTCTAAAACTTTCTTTTTTAGGCTTCAAGCTAGGCACTAAAGTTTATGTTTTGTATGAAATTATCAACAAGTCATGTTTTATATCTTGCAGTGTCATTTTCTATGAAAACCATTTTTCATATTTTACACATTGTTCTATACAAAATACCAATATCAATAGTATTGATACAACTAATTTTGATAGTCTCATAAATTTTGAAAATCATGTCTTTCATTCCTTTTTGAAAATTCAAATTAGTCTTCACACAATTCTGATTCCAGTTTCACTATAGAAAACATTTCAACCTCTTCCACATGATCGATCATCTTCAAATCACTTAGTCATTTACAAGAAGTTCTAACAAAATCAAGAAGCCACCTCCATACTTAGCTTGCTATCATTGCCCCATCAAAGCTTCATCTCATGTTACTTATAACACTCCTTATCCTTTGCACTCTTATCTTTCACATTCTAAATGTTCTAATTCTCACACTATATTTTGCTTGACTCAATCAGGTACATTTGAGTCAACCTCTTTTAAAGAAGCGAATAAAATTTATTGTTGACGAAAAACAATGATGGTTGATTTACAAGCTCTACAAACGAATCAGACTTGATCATTGGTTAGTCTTCCTCCAGGCAAGAAAGTTGTGGGGTGTAAATGGGTCTACCAAACCAAATTTAAACTAGATAGCTCTATAGAAAGACACAAAACAAGATTAATAGCCAAGAGTTTCACACAAGTAAAGGTGGTAAATTTTTTCGAGACCTTCTCTCTTGTAATCAAATTAACTACTGTTCGATTCTTCTTTCAATTATTGTCTCATCTGGTTAAATTTTACATCAACTTGATGCTGACAATGCCTTCTTGCATGGTGAACTTGATGAAGAAGTATACATAAAACCACTACCAGGATTGACTCTTCTTCTCCTAAGTTTGTTTGCACACTACACAAATCCCTATATGAATTAAGACAAGCAAGTTGACAGTGGAAAGTCAAGCTCGCATCTGCCTTAATCAATTTTGGCTTCACTCAAAGTACAACTGACTATTCATTATTTGTCATACGTGTTGTTGACTCATTCACAGTTCTTCTAGTATATGTTGATGACATAGTTATAATTGGAAACAATCTCAACATAATCAATCACTTTCAAAACCTATCTTGATAACTAATTCAACATTAAAGAACTTGGTGAATTAAAATACTTTCCGGGGTTTGAAGTTGCTCGATCTAAGCATGGCTTGGTTCTCAACTAGCATAGATATTTCCTTGATATTCTAGATGAATTTGGTCTCTTGGCTATAAACCAATACCTTCTCTTACTACTCCTTCTGCCAAGCTCAATGAAGATGATCAAGATATAATTTCTTATCCTACTAATTTCAAAAGATTAATTGACAAATTGTTATACTTAACACATACAAGGCCTTATAACAAATTGTTCTCAAATATCTCAAAAATACCATTGTACAAGGTCTCTTTTATCCAGGTCAAAATTCTCGTAGAATTCATGCAGTTTCAGATTGAGCAAGTTGAAGAACCACTAGCAGGTAAATTAGAGGTTATTGCATCTTTTATGAAAATTGCTTAATATCCTAGAAGTCTAAGAAGCATAATTAAGTTTTTTTGCAACTCCACAAAGGCAAAATACAAGTTTTAGCCACTCTAGCTTGTGAATTGCAATTAAGGATGACAATTAAACTCGTACTCGTCCCGAGTTTGACGAGGAAAACCGAGTTGATTGATGACAGGAGCGAATTCGGGTTTTCCCCACTTTAAAAAATCGGGACAAGAACGAGAATGAGTAATATTAGAAGTAATTAATATTATTTTATTTATAATTTATATTTATAATATTTTATTATGTCCTATTTTTTGGATTTTATTATTCTTATTTATTATATATCAAATTTTATCTTAATAAAATAATTGTATTTTAAAGGATTACAAAAATTTGATAATTTAAACTTTTATTACCTCAAACTAATTAAATAAGAATTAATTTATTAAATATTTCCTTATAAACTATATATTTCATATTTTTAAATGATAGGTAAAAATGAATTAACTTATATATATAATCAAATGTTTGAATATAATATAATAATAATAATAATATAAATAAAAAATGATTAAATATTTGTTATATATATATATATTTAATTAATAATAATTATAAATTGTAAAATTATAAATATTTATTTATGTATAAAAAATACATAAAAATAGTAAAATTAATTTATTATAAATATAATTATAATTATTTTTCTAAAATAATATAGATTGAAGACTGAACAGAGACGAAAAAAATCTAAAAACCAACAAAAATGAGAATAATTACTTAATTTCTAATTTCAGCAAGGATGGAGAGACAAAACCTGTCCTAATTACAATGACTCAAATATATACGTGATGACTTATTTTTGAACATCTCTTTCTCCATTATTTATTGAAATTATTTTGATAAATAAGATATTTTATAGAGATAAAAACATATTTTTATTCTTAATTTATTGTAAAATATTTTTTGAATTTTTGTATTTATGCAATAAGATATTTTATAGAGATAAAAACATATTTTTATTCTTAATTTATTGTAAAATATTTTTTGAATTTTTGTATTTATGCAATGAAAATAAATATTATTTTTTTTAGGCTCGATTACCTTTATCTGAAAATAATTTTTGACTTTCAGTAATATGGAAAAATAGCTCAAATACATTTATTAATTAAACATTAATTTCTAAGCTCCTATTTTAATAGATCAAATTATGTGAGCAAGTAGAGTGTGTTGTGGCAGAATCAGAATCAGCATTTAAAATGAAGGAATTAACAACATATTTTTAAATATGACACACCTTGTTGGGTTCTGAGTATGAAATTTATTCTTTTACATTAGTAGGCCCTGTGAGCACAGTCTTCGTTGCTCCAGATCGATGCAGCTTTGAATCCAACCCACTAATGGAAAATCTAAAGTTGTGTGGAGTGGATCACTTTCAAAGTTTATCACCTGCAAATTTTAGTTTAACCATGAATAATATGAATACATGAAGATAAAAATATAAACAACACTACAAGTACACTTTTTCAATGAGATTTTTCAAAATCTACACGTCACTTTTCCATCTCCTCCAATAAATAATAAATCAGGATTTATAAAATCAAGTTCCTAATTTATTTTTGCATAAAAATTACCCTTTTATTTTATAGTCTCCGCTATGGTAGCTTTACAATCAACCTAAAATCCACCGGTTCAGGGAAAACGATGAGAAGGACAGTTTAAAAGCAGTAGCATGGGTTGTAACGCCTCCCATCACAATCCCGTTGCTCTCGGAAAAAATGTTCTCCATCCTCGCCTCTACCGTGTCATTGCCTTCCACTTTAATCCTCAATATGACGTCGTTTCGTCTTAAACAACAATCTCCTTTTCCGTTTCCCTGCCGGCGGTTCAATCCGCCAGTACTCCGAACAGTTTTTCCGGTGAGTTCCAGCGCCTCTGCACCACCCTTCGATCTCAGAGGTGGCAAAGGGTACTTGCAATTTCCTCAAATATCCCTTCTTTTATTATCTAAACTCTCCCCTGTGCGTTCAAGTTCTGAACTTCTTGTGCAATTGATGGGTCCCACATCTAATTGCGTTCATTTTCTTTCCTTTTACTGTGATGTGCAATTTTCATTCCAGCTTCTCTTTTAAATAGTGATTAATTTATTCAATCTCAGTTTATATATTAATAATTTCTTCCTGCAATTTATAACCTCAGAATTTTTTATGATATAACAGAATGAGTGGGTTCTGTGATGTCGAACTGAAAGTGCGTGATTATGAATTGGATCAGTACGGTGTAGTCAACAATGCAGTTTATGCAAGTTATTGTCAGCACGGTGAGGCCTCATGAGCTAGTACGTATAATTTTTCGGCTGCGTGAACTCTGATTGATACTTGAATTTGGGTCTTAGACAAGTTTCTTCGCAAGCATTCCTTCAGAGGAGTGATCTCCTTATTCCAAGACTAAAACTAAGGATTAATTTCTCATTTTCATGTTCATTTCTTTGTAATCTTGTGGTCTAACATAATAACCAGATCCCTTCTTATATGTATATGGGCTTAACTACAATTATTTTTTGCTATTCTTGGTATATGAAAGGTGCATTCTTTGAGATCTCGGTCCTTTTGTTGATGCTACAAAACTACATTTTGATTACTTTACAACATTATATTGAATTTAGTTTCTGAAAAAATCATGAAGGCAAAACAACAAAATCGGACTAGCCCAAGCATGTGGAAAAAATTATAATCTTTCTTCTCTTTTCCTTATAAAACAAATGTATTGACTGTGATAGCAATATTATGATGGTAATTTATTGGAAAAATTCGGAACTTGAAAGCAAATGGAACAAAAGAGCAGGATTGAAAGGAATCAGAACGCACATCTTTTAATGAATAATGCAGTTTCCTGGTGAAACTATTAGAAGTTACATGTGTAGTTTCATTGAAGCATATTCCCCAGATTAGCTTCTTTGCTGAAAGAAAAATTCTCAGTGTTACTATGCAAGATAAAGTAGAGTAAACTCTTATGAAGAAAACAGTCTCTGTTTGTATGAAATGAACCTTCATGTATACAAATGAACATTTGTTAGTTTATGTAAATTGGCATTTACGAAGAATAAAGAATATTACAGAAAATAGTGTTAGGATACTGAAATATTTCATGGACAAAAACCAGATAATCTGGGATGTGTGTTTGGTATTAACTAACACAAGAATATTGATTCTGGGTGTTTCTTGGACTACAAGAATGACAGAAGGAGAAAAGGTACTGATAGAAATGAGTATTCCAACCATTTTGGTGGAACATAGATTTTCTAGGAACATCCCAATCCTAGCATTTAATTCATCACTTGGAAGAAATAACCTGTGGTGTGGAGCCTGACTTAAGGATTCATTGCCAATGCAAGAATGTTTGTAATATGGAACCGAGTGATGTCTACATACATAAACAACCATTTAGTCATACAAAAGTTTCACCATCTTCTGCACCTTTTACGCATTAAAAAAAACGACCTTAAGATTTTGTAGGGTTGCATCAAAGCTTTTCTATTCTGATTTAGATGCAATCTAATGGTTCATCACACTGGTAGTTCTATTTGTTTCTCTAAGTTGTACATATATTTTTTTCTTATCATCCATGTGTATATGCTTGAAAATTTTCCTCTCTTCTCTTGATCTTTGTTTTGGTATTTTTGAGCCTATATAACTATAATAAGGGAATTGATACTTGACATGATACTGAATTGAAATGTATTGAGTTGGATGATCTGCAAACATTTTAAATTATCCTTTTTCATTCGTGGCAACTGCCAATTAGAAAGAGTACTCTCTATTTTAGCTGTGTAAACTGACCCCTTGCCATACATATTTTTGTAAGGTCGTCATGAACTCTTGCAAAACATTGGTATTGATTGTGATGCAGTGGCTCGCACTGGTGATGCATTGGCATTGTCAGAGCTATCGCTCAAATTTCTTGCACCTCTAAGAGTAAGCATATCCTATTTTTCTGTATGTTAAGATATATGTTTGTTGGGATGTAGTGTAGTGTAAATCATTTCTTAATACATTTCGTACACTAAAAACGATATTATGTTCAGTATAAGCTAGTTCTGTTTCCAATATTTGTTCTAATTTTAAGAACATGCGCCCAGAGCGGAGACAAATTTGTTGTAAGGGTTAAAATTTCTGGCTCTTCAGCTGCTCGTTTATACTTTGATCACCTCATCTATAAGCTGCCAGACCAAGAGGTCTGTCTCCACCACTCATGACTTAGACCTTTTCCATCTTTGTGAATATTTGCTGATATTTGGTGAATTGGCAGCCTATTTTGGAAGCCAAGGCCACTGCGGTGTGGCTTGACAAAAACTATCGTCCTGTACGAATTCCAGCGGACATGAAGTCTAAATTGGTAAAGTATATTCGCGTTGAGGATTCTTGATTCAGTTATCAGATGACTATAGCCTTATTGGAAGCATTCAGTTATTTAATTACTGGCCTTCATTTTAGCTTGTGAGTGGGGAAGGAGTTAACGTGTCTCCGTAATGGATCCAGTAAATTATGTCCATCAATAGTTTTAAACTATAAGATTAAATAGATGATGCTGAAAAAAGAACAAATGTGTTTTCATTTTTTCTTGTTTTTTTTTTTTTTTTTCTGAAAATGTAGGCTTTGTATGGCCTAAGTGAGAGAGGGTGAAGGAATTTCAAGCTTGAAGCACTTTTTCATGTCTCTGTATCCTTAGTTTCTTCTGGTGTTTGACAAAATGTCCTGTGGGAAATTGTTGACAAGCGTGTTCAATAATAAGCACAATGTGAACTTAGTAAAGAATAGAAATGTTTATATAAGGAAATTTCCTGAATAAATGAATGCTCAAACTGATCCCAGAGGGTATTTTTGGCTGCTAATATAGCATTTTTTTGGTTGTATGCGGATTGCATTCATCAAATGTTTGTAGTACCTGCTTGGAACAACATTCCTCTTCATTGAATGTGTTCAACTTCGTTGGTTAATTCAAGTTTGTTTTTGTAGTACCTGCGCGGATGGCGAATAAAAAATTGATGGCATGTAACAGATCAATTTCAACACTGCAAAAAAAAAAGTATCAACTAAAATGTCTTATTTTTTGGCATTATACATTTAATTTAAAATTTGGCATTATACTTATAAATTGAATTTTCTTTCATCCCACTTCTATTTAGTTTTCTTTCTATTTTTCTCTTACATATCATACTCTTTGTCATATCATATCCACTAAGCTCTCATCCGTTTTTTTTTTTTTTTCTCTATCTATCTTTTTCTTTCCATCCATATGCAACAAAATGGAGTTTACATGTATAATTCTTCCATTATAACACATAATACTCCTATCCTCTTATGAGTCTATTGGATCACCATCTTTGCCAAGCTTTCTTCTTGTTGGACATGGTCGATATCTTGATCATTTGTTTGGAGTATTTATTTCCAGTTAGGATGCAAGTTCTAGTAAAAGTAGTTTTTTTAAAGCTAGTATCAATATAAAGAAAAAATAAATAAATAATATTAATTTAAGTTATTCATATTATAGATACAATAAAATAAATTCAAAGAAATTTGAATTAATGAATTGCTAGGGACTGGGTGAACATGAACCAGTTTGTTAGATTGTGGTTGTGATTCATCATCTATACCAGCTTAGCATATCAACTTTCATGTAGTAGGAGACTATGCAAAGGTGTTGGTCTCAAGGAATTTTAGTAGAATATGAAGAATTCACCAACTTGAAAAATCCAATCCTTAAAAGTTTGAGAGGCATGACAAGGGAAATGAATGTACCAAAACGTTAACATGTTGTGACAACTGAGTTAAAACATGAAACATTAAGAAAATAATGAACCATCCTACTCACGAATTTATTCTAATTCTTAAAATCACATCTTGGAGCAACTATTTGCACTAGATCAACACAGGATATTGTGTGTCAAATATACGATTAAGAGCTGCAGCCAATCGAACTCCTCCTTGAGCTAACCTGAAATTTACTATAGGGAAACGAGAAAAGAAGTATTCATCTGCAGAGTGCATTTTCATGGTGTAGTTAGTACAAAAGATAAAACCAAATTTTACACAACTATCAAAACTCTCATTGCTTACCTTCTAGTACTGAACCTTCACTAGCATCTTTATACGCCCATTTACACGCATCTTCGGCACTTTCAGAAGCATATCTGAAACATTAACCCATGTTAATTAAGTATATACTGATAAAAACTAAATAAATTCTTTTCTAAATTTTAAGTAAATCCAATATGCATGCATGGAAACAAAGATGTGGCACACATACATAGCGGGGCATGATATCTCATTATTACTGCAGTATTCCCAATCTTCTACCTCATCAGCCCAGACTTTCTATTTATTCAAGAAAAATATATAAGAGTGAAGAGAACATGAAACTTCAATAAACGAATCCTTGGATTGACAACAGAAAAAGAAGCTGAATACAATACCGTAATATTTATTTGAATTGCATCAACTAAGTCGCCTAAATCGTCATTGAATTTTTGAAACTGTGTTTCAATTATGCTATCATCCCAAACCTGTGCATGATAAATATATACTATTATATATAGTGGAGCGTTATAACAGATAATATTGGTGTATGATCGAGGAAACTAAGAATTTGACTAACATGGTGAAGTTTTTGCGTTTCATTGTACCACAGAACATTAATTGCATTGCCACCCTGGTCTGACACAAAGCCACAGTGTAGAGGCTGCAGATAAGAGTTAATAAAAACTCTATAAATTACTAAGAGAATTTCTTCTAAAAAGAATTAACATTTTTATAAATGAAAATTCCTTTATGAATCAAGTTAAAAAATAAAATTTTAGAAAAGTCATATCATAAAACTTCTGAAAAAGAATTCATGCATAATTATTTTTAACTTAAAAATATTTTTCTTATATTTATCTCTTTATTAAAGAAATTTGTTCAAATATATAGATGTATATATAAATACCTGATGGATGTCTCCCATAAAATGTGAAAGAAATAGAAGAGCTTCAGTGAGATTATCTGATGTTGAGATGTTAACATATTCAAACGAAAATTGTTAGGGCGAAAGCAAGAAAAGTGATGTGGGTATATATATTGATGGGTAATTCTAGTGGGAATCCAAGTGCCACGTAAAGTAAGATGGAAAAAGTTGAATATTGTATAAGGAAAAAATACTTATTTGTAATGGTATTATCAATTATTTGTTATGATGAAGTGCAAAATATGGGAGTTCGAGAGATGTAGTAATGTGAAGAAACTTACTTTGGGGAGGATCACTTGATTTGCCCCTTTGACCCTTACCCTAATTCGTTTTTATAGTTGTCTCGTGGGTCTTTTCTCATCATTATTTGTTGTTTCTTATCTAGATTTTTAGATAAAACGGTGAGAACCACTTTAAGATTTTAGGTTAAATTTGTTATTAATATCTTGTATAAATTAGACTCATATCACAATGACGTTGTCCTCGTGTATATATATAACATCAATTTGAAACAAGGGTTTACATGGAGAATCGGTGTAACTTCCATATTCGAGTAGCTGGTTGGTATAGTTGCTAATCCCTGCCACAACACATCGATTTTTAATGCCAGTTCTCTGATCTACACAATCTCCTGCTTGTTCAAGTACTAATTAGTACTTCTACATCAAAACATACAATCCCTGAGATTTAGAAAGAGAAGGGAGAGTTGACAGAAGAAGAATGCGAAAGGAACTTACTGGAGTCATCGTAACTGCAAACGGAGTCGGGAGTATCAGCAAAGTGCAAGGAAGAAGACCAAGGAATTTCCCTCTTCACATCATCTGGCCACGAACACTGGCTCGCCAGATCATTTTGTGCAGATTCGGGTAACAGTTTGGTCACAGCCTCTGCAGCTGCAGTGCTGAGCCGAGCCTGTGAACATCAAATATGAATGAGAAGAAAAATGTTAGTGAGACGCACACAAGATACAGAGAGGAGAGAAAAAGAAGAAGCTAAAGGTGAAGGAGGCACCTGCGCAATCTTGCAAACAATGGCATGCCCATCTTTTCCCCACCCTTGGGCACTTGAAAGCAAAAGCAAGAATGACACTGTGCCCACTAACTGAACTCTATCACAACCCATTCTTCTCTCCTATACTTCTCAAAGAATAGGTATTTATATATAAATGTTTATGATCACATTTTGTTAGAAATTGAAAAAAAAAAAAAATGACACGACCTTGTAGACAAAATCCAGTTTAAAAGGTAGAATTTTATGTTTTCTTTGACAACCGGAAAACAAACATCCGTTCGACAACTGGGGCGGAAAAGAATTTAGTTAAAAATAAGGGTTTGACTAGTAAAATTATAGTAAAATTGTAGGGGACAGAGATGTAATATTGTAAAAATGGGGATGTAATGGTAAAAAGTGAAATATATGTTCTTCCTCTCGCTCTCGTCGGCGCAGGCAAAAGAAACGTTTGTTCTCTCCCGGCTCTGGTTCGTTTTCGTTCCCGCTCTCTATGAAATATATGTTCTTCGCTCTCGCTCTCTGTTCTCTGTTTTCGTTCACTGTTGACTATCTCAATAGTCGTAAACATAAACCATGGCTGGCAAAAGAAAAAGCTCCAAGCGCACCCACTCAGAAGCGACTTCTTCAAGTACCCAAACTGTGACCACGAAGGAGGTGATAGCCCCAAAGGTCCTTGACACCCAATACTTTGTTAATAACGGATTTGTCCAATTGTATTTAAACTGGCATTATAGTGATGTTTCATTATAATCCTCAGTCTCTTTGACACTCTTTTTCTTTTGTCGGTGCCAGGCTGAGGACAAAGGCAAGAGGTCATGTTCTTCATCAGGTCATATGTCAACCCTGTTGGTGCAGTGCCACCAGAAAGAAAAGACAAGATGCAATTATATAGTGTCTTGTGTACAACGAAATGGTGGAACAATTTGTTAACATGAAATTGAAGGATTGTAATAATGAATGACTTGTGAATTTTAATTGTTGTAGACATATAAACATCAATATAAATTTGACATTATATATTCACAGAATTTGACAGAATTATATATTCACAGAATTATAGAAAACAATTCAAAAATTGACAAATTAATCTAACAAATTATCAGGTTTTTGTGCAAAAAAATATTACATGACTCTCTGCTACATCCAAACACACCAATTGAAAAATATTCATGCCAAATTAACAGTTTAATCTACTTCATACACAAATATTCACACCAATTGAAGGTTTTGTCGCTTAAGCGATGATTTCGTTTGGTAAAGGTTCAACTGTCGCTCAAGCGATTACATAGTCGCTTGAGCGCAAGGAGACCTTAGATAGCGTTTAATTAACTGTAAACCGCTATCTAACGTATGTTTATAATAGCGGTTATTTTATAACCACTCACTTATATCGACGTTGTTCAGATAGCGGTTGGCAAAATAACCGCTATAATAAATGTAGTTCAGATAGTGGTTGGCCAAATAACCGCTATCTAAAGTCATATATATTAAACTGATCGATTATAATTTGATAATAATCGATCATAATGTATAGTTCAGATAGCGGTTGGCCAAATAACTGCTATCTAAAGTCATATATGTAAAACTGATCGATTATAGTTGGATAATAATCGATCATAATGTATAGTTTAGATAGCGGTTGACAAAATGACCGCTATGTAAAGTCATATATGTCAAACTGATCGATTATGATTGGATTATAATCGATCATAATGTATAGTTCAGATAGCGGTTGGCCAAATAACCGCTATCTAAATGTTAGAAAAAGAGCCTGTATTCAAGAGGGCGGGGTGAATTGATGTTTAAAAGCTTTTCGCAAATAACAGATTATCTAATTCAAAAATTTAGATTCCAGATCTGTTCTTGAATTACAAAGCAATCAATCAATATAAATGCAGAGAACACAGTGCCCAAATTCCAGGCACCAAACAATACAAAAAGAATGTAAAGAAATGAAAAAGAAGAAACTAGAATGCTCAAACCAGTTTATGCAATTCTGCTGTAAGTGTTTCTTCTTCAAAAGAAAACAAGTTGCCTCAAGAAAGATTTTCAAAGAACTTCTCAAAAACTGATGCGAATCTTTCTTGAAAAGAGTGCTGAAGTTTGCTTTATTGATTGCTCAAGGATGTGTAAAAGATGATATTCAATGTGTGTTTAAAAAGTTCAAGCAACTCTGTTTTGTAGAAGATTTTCAAAACTGTTGGTTTAATTAATCTGTTAAAAGATTCTTTTAATCTGTTAAAACTGCAGTTTTAATCTGTTAAAACTTCTTTTAATCCATTAATACGTTCTTGATTCTTTAACAGATTTGTTTTAACTGATACGACAATGTTTGTATCAATTAAAACACTTTACAAAAAAATCTTCTAAGTTGATTTAATCGATTGTTTCGTGATTCAATCGATTGAAATACTGCAAAACTTTCTGGTAAAACTTTTCAAGTTATTTTAACTGATAAAAATAAGTTTTAATCGATTAAAATGCTGTGTAGAAATTTTCTAAGTGAAAGTGATCCTAGCAAAGATCTCATTGATTTGATGAAGTAAAAAATAAAGTCAAGGGTCAACTCTGCAGCTGTCAAACAAGTCACTCAGAACAAAGGAGCTGAAGACTTAGTGTGTCTAAACAGAAAGCTTAGGTAAAACCACTTTACCTTTTCCACTGCATAAAGCTTCTTCACTCATCTTGCAAAATGCCTCAAAACAGTTTTTAACAAATCAAAAACAAAAGCATTTTGGCAAAGAATTTTCTTAAACAAGTTATTAACCGATACAGGTTTGAAAGAATCAATTTAAAACACTTAGAATGTTTTAAAAAGTGTTTTTACAATATTTTAATCGATACAAACTTCTTTTAATCGATTAAAACTCTTTATGACCGATTAGAATTCGAATATAATAGGTCAGAATGCAATATAATCGATCAGATCTTAAATATGAGCGATCAAATTATTTTAATCGATTAAAACACGTTTCAATCGATTAAAATCACTTTGGATGTCAGGATGATCGATCAGAATGAGATTATGACCGATCAGAGTTGGTTATGATCGATCAGAATTGAATTATGACTGATCAAATTATTTCAATCGATTAAAACGTATTTCAATCGATTAAAATAACTTAGAAAATCTTTTCAATCGATTAAAACGAACTTTCAATCGATTAAAATGACTTGAAAATATATGTGCAGATTTTCAATCGATTAAAACGACTTTATATCAGCTAAAATAACTTGGAAAGTTTTATAAGAAGGTTTTTAAACAAATCAATCGATTAATACGCGATTCAATCGATTGTTTTATACTTAGAAAATGTTTGTAAAATGTTTTAACTGATAAAAACGTGGTCGTATCAACTAAAACATTTTTTGTTAAAGATCAAGAATGCATTAATGGGTTGAAAGGACTTTTAACAGATTGTAACGGCTATTTCAACAAATTAAAACAAACTTTCAACAGATTAATTAATGCAGTAGATTTGAAAATACTCTTTTATAAACAGCAATTGCTTGGAACTTTTAAAATATCGAGTTTTTGACACAATTCAAGCAATCAATACAAACAACTATTAGCATTTTTCAAGAAAGATACACAACTGTTTTTGTGAACTTCTTTTGAAATCTTTCTTGAGGCACTTTGCATTTCTTTGAAGAAGAAACTGATCGTGGATTGGTGTAATCCGGTTTGAGCTTTCTTTGTTTCTTCTTTTAAATTTCTATTCATTCATTTGTACTTGTTTTGTACCTGGAATTTGGGTACAAGTTTTCTGTACTTGTTGTAGAAAGTTGCCAAGAACTGGAATTTGGTTCTTGGTGGAAAGGTTAAAGCAAGAGCTGGAATTTGGTTCTTGTGTGTGGTGCCTGGAATTTGGGCACTCTGGTTTCTCTGCTGCTGGAATTTGGTTGCAGAGGTTTCCAAGAACTGGAATTTGGTTCTTGGTGGAAAGGTTAAAGCAAGAGCTGGAATTTGGTTCTTGTGTGTGGTGCCTGGAATTTGGGCACTTGGTTTCTCTCGTGCTGGAATTTGGTTGCGAGAGGTTTCCAAGAGCTGGAATTTGGTTCTTGGTGGAGAGTTAGAATAGGTGTAAGAGTGTGAGTCTGTAAAACATCTATTCTAGTGGAACCCAGCTGGAATTTGGCTGGAGATTGGACGTAGCCCTGGTTGTGGGTGAACCAAGTATAAAATTACCGGTGAAATCTTTCCTAACCTTTCTCTCTTTAATTTCTACTGCTTGCACTTAAACTGTTTGATTGCTTTGTGATTTGTGAATTGATAAGTAATCTTAATTTTCGGATTAGATAATCCGTGTATTGCGAAAAACTTTCAAAAATCAATTCACCCCCTCTTGATTTAAAACTACTTTTCTAACAATTGACATCGAAGCGAGGTGCTTGAAAGTTAATCAAGTTACTTCGATCCATGGCATTTTCCGAGGGAGCGTGCATTGATAGACCTCCACTGTTGAGTGGAACAGATTACCTATATTGGAAAATAAGGATGAAAATCTTCATTGAATCTGTTAGTATAAATGCTTGGAATGTTATTGAACAGGAAATTGATATTGCTAACAGAATCCAAGATGATTGTATTGCCAAGAATATCATCTTATCTCGCCTTAACAGAGATGATCTTTTCGAGATTGCACACTGCCAACTGGCTGCACAAATGTGGAAGATCCTTGAAAAGACCTATGAAGAAGCACCGAAATATGCTTGATGGTCAACTCGGAATCACCAAATACCAGTGTAAGTTCTGAATCTATAAACTATAGCTCATTACAAGATGCTTTCTTTGAAATACATGAAGTAGCAAAGAAATTAGAAACTGAAAACAGAAAATTGAAAAGCATGAATAGGTTACTAGAAAACAAGATCATTATTCTTGAAAAGAAAATAATTGATGAAGAAAAGTTAGAATTAGAAAATAATACTGATTGCATATGTAATGTTGAAGATTGCAAAAACTGTCCTAAGTTACAGAAACAAGTATCATACCTAGTAAAAACTTCATCTAAATTAGCACAAGGAAAGAATAATCTTGATAGGATACTTAATTCACAAAAATTAGTTATTGAACGTGGTGGCATAGGTTATACACCATCTATTGGAAA